CCAGAATGGTTTCCACAAGTGACGAAAGCCCAGAAACCCGAGAGTGAGCTTGATTGGCCCCTTCATAAACCTACCCCAACCTGGTGCGGCGTGGATTTTTCGTGAGACCCGAGACCCTGGGCATTTGGCGCATCCCAAGAGGATGGGAGTTTCATGGTTTTCACCCGAGCGGACTGGGGATACCAGGGGTTCCACGGTGGATTCCCGAGAAACTCCGTTGGGAAGGGCAACCCGGCCGCGTGCTTTTGAGGCTCCCATCGAATGTCTAAAGCATGAGGTGGCAGGTGGGTGGACAAAAATGGCCTCCGTGCAAATGATGTCCCAAAAGGCAAAGGCGAAAGAAAGACACAAAAAACAACGATCACTCGAAATTCATGGCCAAACAAGGGTACCGCTTGAAGCCTCCGGTCAAAACAGGGGGTCGACCCGCTCACAGCCACAAATTGGGTGCCCCTGCCCCTCGGCCAGCTCGTTGCCTGCAGCCGTGGGTTGCGCAACCACCCGGTACCTGGCTGAGTCCATGGGGGGCTCATCTCAGTGGCTGACACTGCGGCCTTTTGTCCACCCGACCGCTGACTCAAATTCAGAGCCTCCGAAAACGTGTGGGGTTTTCCCAGGAATCCAATTCTGTGGCCATGGAGGAAACAATTCACAGACTGTCAATGCTCCCAGATCCGCTCCAAAAGGCTCCCCTGGTGAGCCTTTTGCGCCATTTGTTGTTTGCCTCTCCCGCATCGCTTGGCAGGCGCAAGACGCCAGAAATGCTGGACAAAACTTTGGGCATGTGCAAGAATGCTGAGCAAAACGCGGGAAACTGTGGTTCCTGCCCTATGTTTCTAGCCTCAACCGCATTTCCCGCTTCTCAACCCTTCGCATAGCGGCCAAGCAAAACTGCGAAGATTCGTGCAGCCAGCCATGCTCCAAAAAGAAAAAAACACCCAACGATGCCGAAAAGCCTTGGCCCGCAAAGAGACCCCAACAGCCTTGGACCCCTCCCCAAACCCGCTGCAGCGCTTGGCCACTGGTTTTTGGGGGAATATGGGAAAAAAGCCGACGACGCAGGCAACCAATTGGAACCAAGTTGAAACTGTCCATCGATTTCCAACCAGGCCACCAACCGCACCACTTGGGATTGGTTTTTTGCGCGTGGGCTTCGTCCATCCACGATATCTGCATATTCAGGGACCGTCATGCCAAAGTCGCTCGTGAGCTCGCATCAGAAATCGGGTGTGTCTCAAAGGGCACCCAACAAAATGATTGGTTTCCTTTGGGGGTTCCTACGGAAACTTCAACCAAAAGCTGGCAGCGCCTGAAAAAAAGTTGCGGGCCCTCAATTGGTGTCCTTTGGGTTTCCTATAGAAACCTCAACCAAAAGTGGGCCTCCAAGTGTGCCACGTCCGCGTCAAAATGAAATGCGCCTCTGGTAGCAGAAGAGGCCCAAGCCGCCGAGGAGGAAGAGGTTCTCCACGCCCATGCCCACCGACACACCTCCAGTTTTGAAGACCCAGAGGGAGCTTTCACCCCTAGATCACCGGTCACTTCCAAGCATTCGGAGTCCAGAAATCCGGAGACCAGACCCAAAAATCTGGGAACCATAGTTGATAAGGACGAAAAAGGATTGAACATGTGGAATAAAAATGTGCTTTTTGAGCTAGCCCTTTGTGGCTCGCTGTGAAGGCAAATGATTGGTGCCAGGGTGCAAAGTCAGGATCCTTCCTTTTTGAACAACCCTCGCCTTCTGCCCGCGATATCGGGTGCCCCCAACCCGCGGCGCAGAACGTGAATGGACCCGAAGACTCGCTGTCATACCAGCATGGTGACTGCCAAGCCATAAAAAGGTCTGGTACATCCATTTCGGGCGATTGAAGCCACCTGAGAGCAGGCCCCTGTTCTCTGGGGTCGCCAGCCTTGTCATACGAACAATTGACCAACCAGTCAGACTGACCAAGCAGTCACAGGTTGTGAAATCATGAACATGATTCGTTGGCGTCGTTCTATTTGCATACATGAGGAGATTCTTCAGTCCATTCCGACGGAGTTCCAATAACTCACTTTCTCAGCCGAAAAAGTCCACTCTTGTTGTCTACCACTACACGTGCGGTTCCCAAAAACATAAGCTCAGGTGATATCCCCAACAGCATGCGGTGCTCTTTTTAGTGCTCGCACCACCCCGCAGCCCCGCGGCAATGGCCAAGCTCATGAGAACCTGAATCCCCCCCCCAGGCGGCGCAAACTGGTGGACAATCCAAAAGGGAAGCGCTGTAATTTTAGTCCCCTTTCACAAACACTCAAGTAGGGGGGGGCCCGGGCCTTCAAATGGTGGCGATCCCTTAGACAAAAAATGGCCCGCTCTGATTTTTTAACAATGTGTGCTGTTGTTTGCCCTGCAAGACTTCATGTAAAAACATGTTTGTTTGTTTCTTTACACCAATCCTCCCCTCCCTTTTCCCTGCCACCTCAGCCTGCCCCACCCGCCCTCAAGAGCCTGTCAGCTTCCGGCGCAACGAGTTGGTCTCCAGCATGCTCGCGGGCCTGCAGCTGCCTCGCAAAAAAAATCCGCCGCGGCCCCCAAAACTTGTGCTGCAATCAGCTTCCCTCCACTCGCTTCTCTCCCTTCGTGCGAACGAGAACTTGTCCAAAAGCGAGGGAGAGATAGGTGAGTGAGTGGCATGGTTCTCTTTCCCACCTCCCGCCTTTCCAAATCCCAAGGCCCTCTTGGTGGTGGTTTCGAGCCCAGTGGTTGGTGTTCCGGAGGTGGCTTCCCACTTACCCTCCACAAGAACCACCATTTGCAGATGATGTCAGCAACTTGACGGCAGAAACCCCCCGAAAAAAGCACTGATTTCCGGATGCCGGACCAAAAAGTTCTCCGACTTCCAAGGTGCGGCTCATGCAATCCGGCGCCTGTATGAAACTCCTCTGAGGAAATGGACCAAACACCTTTTAGTTGGGTTCCTGCGGTTGGTGGGGGAGCATCTTCCCCCCTCATTTGGTCCCAGTGGCTGTGGGTCAAAAATGCGTAGCCAAAATAAAACCCCGGTGAATGCAAACATGGCCCATATGAACATGTCCTGTTCTTGTGGAAAGGCTTGGCTTCTCAGCTTGGCTTCACCAAGGTCAGACAGAGTCCAAGTGAGTCTTGCTTTAGACACAAAGTCCACAAAGCGATGGATGAAACCCAACTTGAATACTGGGACAAGCCACCTGCCAACCGGTGCAGCGGGTGGATTTGATCCATCCGCCACAGAAAAACACACAAATCAGGCAGTAGAACCAATAACGAGGCCAAAAGGAGAATATTGAAGTTGTTTGTAGCCAGTAGAACCTAAATATGGCCGAGGAGTTGTGTCAGAACACTTCTGGAAAGGGTTGATGTCCTGTTTGTTTGCGTTTGATTCAGTAAAGCCATGTCTCAAAATAGAAATTTGGGACTCCCAACTAGGGTCCGTTTGGTTTCCCTGTCCACCAGCCTAAAAAGGATAACATCAGAAAGCACCCCAGGAATTCAATTGAGCAACGCTCATCCAAGCCCCTTGGTTGTTGGGGTTCTGCAGGTTCCGGAGGCGACGGTTTCGAAATCCAGAAATCGCACCGTTCAGAAACCCAGCGGAATGATTCGATTCTCCAGGAAATACCAACAAACGTTATGGTTTCAACCACGGTTTCTGAGGTGGTGCGAGATGGAATTCGTCCAGCCACAACTTGCTGTCCTTTGGTATCGCATGAAAACCACCGCGACACGGGCTGTTGTTTGTTTGTTTTCCCCGCCGGCGGCGCTCTTGAAACTCATACTCGCAGATGAGACGTGCCGGCAACTGACATGGATCACTACATCTCCCCTCGATGTCCAAAAATGGGAAATCCAGGAGGGGACGGGCACGGGTATCCTTCCTGCGGAAGAAGGGGCTCAGTTTGTGTTGAGGCTCCGTACCCTTCTCGTGGCTGTTTTCAACGGCACCCATTTCGGGGGAGAGGTGCCGCTATTTTGACACAAAGGTTTGGCTCAAGAATAGGGGAAGCCCCTTATGGTGACACACGGTGTCCTTTGGGTTTCTCTTGGCAACCAACCAACACTTTCTGGTGCTCAGCAGGTAATGACCTTCTCGGTGTTGGGAATAAACCCGCGCATAAAGGAAACCACAAGGGACGGTTTTTCTCGGGGTGATTCCATTTCCCATTCCCTGCCTATCGAACCAGCAAGACGAAGAAAAAGGGCCCACCAAAAGGTTAGCTTCTCCCTTGAAAACCCGCCACAAAAAGGAGGTTCTTCCCTTGCTAGGTCCTCCAGTAGAGAGGTTGGGATAAGGGTACCAACTTTTTTCTGCAGTCTATTTTAGTAGGGGAACTCTCCCCCCAAAACAGGGTACTTAAAAGGGCACTACTGGGGGACCTAGACTTGCTTTTCTATTCTTTTCAACCAACGTTCCTTTCAAAAACCAGCTGTTTCTGTTGGGGTTCTGATGGTTTTCCCTTGAAAGCCCGCCAAAAAACGGGGAACCGTTCCAACCAACAACAAAAACGCGGGCAGCTTTTCTGTCACTTCTTTCCCCCGCCTTCCACGGAGAAGTTCCCCGCGTCCGTGCACATGGCCGTGATGCCGCCCTCCAGCCCGGGGTCGCAGGCGTAGTCCACGCCCATACCTCGGACGAAGCAGTCCCAAAGGGGGCCTTCGGGCAGGGGGGCCTTCGGGCAGGCTTGCCCCAAACATGGGGAAGCAAAATTCAGGTCCAACCGCTTTTGAAGTGTTTCCCAGGAAAATCCCCTAAAATAGCCTTTGAAAATCCCCTTTGACATATTCTCAAATCATATCACAACCCAAACTCAGGTTCTCAACGTCTTTTGGTCGCATCCGTTGGCTTCCCTGAAAGCCAACGTTGGTCTGTGTATGTGTGTGTGTGTGTGTTTGTGTGCGAGTGTCACAATAGGAGGCTGCGAAACCAACATGGCGGCATACCTCTCAAACCAACCCTCAAGAACGTACTCCAAAAAACTAAGCTTGTAGGACATCCGATTCTTTTAGGCCACCTCGACGCAACACCAAGGGCAAGCCCATTTTGCGCCTCCCAACCCTGAAGACCCGCTGACCCCTAGGAAACCCGACCCGCCCGGACCCAAGGACCCGCCTGCCAGCCAGCCCTCCGCAGATCCCGCAGCCGCCTTGGGGCTGGCCTGCGGCACCGTGGGCGGTGGCCCGCAGAGGCGGCGGCAGCGGCCGGAAGAGACGTAGTGCCCGTCCTCAAGGGGCACGGGGGGGGGGGGGGGGAACAGAGTGAACATGGAATGCATGAGTAACTAGGTCCTCCAGATTTGCGAGGTTAGAATAAGGGTACCAACTTTTTTCTGTAGTCGATTTTAGTAGGGGAACCCTCCCCCCAAAAAGTTGGTAAAAGGGCATGCTGGGGGACCTTTTTGAAAGTAAGCTGGCATAGCAACTTGCAAGCCTTGAGGAACCGGTTTGCTTATTGCTGGTGAACTTCGGTTGCATGGTAAACGGGTGTCATGATGGCAACGACTTCGTACCATGAGGTATGGTCCCACACGTTGGCGCTTGTGGAAGTTGGCGTGCTTCAACCGACCCGCCGCCCCCACCACCACCACCCACCCCCAAAAAAAAAAGGGTCCCCACCCTCTGACCCTCCCTCCTCCACCGCGAAACATACCGAACCCCAGATACAGAGCCTATGTGGATGTCAATCACCAGAAGGCCAATGAGAGACCTGGAATAAGCGGGTGGTTTCCGAAAAAGTGATCAGGGTCCCTTGTATGGCCCCCCCTTTTTAATCAACCAGGATTCATGCAGTTCTGGGTTCCCTAAACGGAACCATGACATGGGACTCGGTGCCATTTGTTGAACTTATTGGTGGCAAGGGCACTGCTTACCCATCTCTCTTTCTGCCCGTGTATGCTTGCGTGGTTCAATGGAAACAAGCAGATTTCGGCGGACAAATCTTCGCAGCTTGTGGCAAGCCACGAAGTGCCAGCCTTCTCCGGGGCCAGAAATCGATATGGGTGGCTCGTCTTCTTGGAGAGCACACCATTTGTTGGAAGTTCCTCTAAAACAGACAGGCCCATATGATGCGAAAACGCCCGTGAATCAACCCGGATGATTCTTTTCCCCCAACAGCGATCCGGCTCCCCTCTAAACGTCGGACACCCCATTCATGAACCAGGGAGTTGCTAATCCCGGGCTCCCATTCAAGGCCCGCTGCCAAGCGTCATAACCGCAGGTTGCACTTGGTGTGCCATTGTACTGCTGGTCGCACTGGTACCGGACAACCTCATTCCAAGAACCCAACATACCCTAAATAATCAGAGTGGTTCGGGGTTTCGGGTACCATACAGCTAAATGAGAGTATTATTGAGGTTGGTACAGCACACCTTTGCATATGCAGCCGGCTTGCATGCTCCGTTCCTCTCACACATGCTGCCTCAGAACCTGCTTTTCACCTTCTGAGTACAGGAGCGCGCCTTGTGAATGTTCGTAATTGTTCAGCCCTTTGTATTCCCCGGATTTTTTCTGATAAGGCATCCTCACAGGAGGGGGTTCTTCCGGTGAACGGGTCTTCCTCATTGAGTGAAAACACAAGTTCAAAGTGCATAGAAAATCCATCAAGGGCAGCTGGTTCCAGGAAGCAACCTTCAGAATATGCTAGGTTCTTTCGAAGCTAAGACTTCAGCGAGCAACCAGCAACCTGGCAAACCGTCTGAGCGCCCCCTCCCCCAAACCAAAAGACGCCGCCCGCCGCCCGATGTCCGGGTCACCGTCCCCGCGGTCGCATTCTCCCGCAGCGCCGCGGCGTGAGGCAACGCCGGGGGCTCTCCGCAGGTCACCTCCAAACAAAAAAAACAAAACGGCAGCAAGGGCCAGCAACAAAAGGCAAGGTGGATTTGGGCTGGTTTGAAACCTTCCTAACCTCCAAAGCACCAATCCATCCAATTAGGGGAAAGCTGACGTCCTGTGGATGGTTGCGAAATCCTGAGAAAACGCGCCACCGAAATCAGAAGCCATGGGAAGGACACCATTACGTGTGTTGATGTTTGCACGGGAATCGAATCAGCATGAATTTTGTCCATCCACAGTATGGGTGTGTCCCCCCCCACCCCGAAGAAACCATGTTGGGTCAACTGGCCAGCAGTGATCGGAGTTGGGTTTACATCACTGGGTTGTAGAATGCTTGAAACCACGGGCAATGCTGGCTGTTGAGCCAACATATTGCCTTAGGTGGCAAAATCAGGGGATGTCGTAGCCGGCAGACTCTTGCTGCAGCTGAGCTAGGGACTGCTCGGCGGCACGCAGCAGGATGCGAATTCGTTCCCAGGTGCGCCGAGAATGAAAAAGAAGCAAGCAACCTGCAGCAACAACTAGCCAAACATGCACAGAACCAGCCAGCACCAGCAACAACCAGCGCAAACGGCCAAACGCCTGCCAAAACCGCAAAGCAACAACCAATGCAAACACCTAAAAAAATGAAAACCAATGAACAACTGCAAGAAAGGACCCCAAAGCAGCAACCCAACCCGGCCAAAACCCCCGCCGATGGCGCCTGCGTGCAGGCGCCGGAGATGTTCCAGCGGCTGCTCGCCAAGCACTCCGCGAGCAGCCGGCCCTGGAACCTGGCGATTGCGAGTCAACGAACTTCCGAAAACGGGAACTGGGCCATGCACGAGAAGTGAAAAGCCAAAAGCCAAAAGCCAAAAGCTAAAATGCTAAAAGCCAAGGGCTAAAAAGACAAACCTAACAGTTCTCCTTGAACATGGCCACGCATGTGCCTTTTTGCCCAGATCGGCTCTGGTCCTGGGCGGGTTTCTGGGCAGGGCCCCGCAGCCCCGGTAGGGCCTCGGCGCGTTGCAGTCGTAGTGCACCTGGGACCCCAAGCTGAAGTTCTGCCTCCGCAGGTCCTCCATGCGCGCAGTGGCCTGGCGAGGAGGATTCGCCGGGCTCAAAACGAGGCATTGGGAGCCCCAAATAGCGGTGGTCCTTTTGGCTTCCTGGTCAACCAAAACGGGTGCACGAGCGAACAAAGCCGCATGGCACTGGGGACACTAGCAACCATGGAAAGGTCCACCATTTCAAGGCCACATCGTTTTTCAATCCAGTTTTACCTAGCTTCATTGCAGGATAAACAGGGTCGCCCTTGCGCTTTGGGGTTCGCTTGCACTTGCGGCCTTGCTCGAGGGTGCCCTTTTCGCCTTGGTGTTTGAGGGAGAAAGCAAGGAAGATCACTATGTTCTGTATTGTTTCCCTCCCCCCGAAACAAAATACTTATATATATATATATAAATTAGAGAAGAAAAAAAAAGAAGAAGAAAAAACACGTGTGGGGCCCCTCTCCTTTTTTTGCGCGTGCTGCGTGCCTGCGGCAAGCGCGGGGGGCTGCTGCAGGAGACTGGCACACAGGCGCCGGAGACCGTGTAGTTCCCTGCCTGCGACATTCCCCCGAAGCAAACCCGACAAGAACCCGCCTTTCAGCTTCCCGCTTGGTGCTTTAGACTGGTGGAGGTTCGGTGGGGCACCATTTCTACCCGAAACCATGTTGCGGCTCCGAAACTTGGCCAGAACAACGGGAGCAGTCCGAATGATTGTGACTGATCACCCCCCAGAGTTGTGTAGTGAAGTTTCAGAGAACCTCGAAAAAATCACAGAAGAATCACGCAACAAAGCGGCCTTAAAAAGAGTCAGGCTGAAAACTATGCGCCGATTCGGTCAACTCTTCTGCCATCGGACGGGCCTCGCCGCACACCGCGGTGACATAGCCGTGGTAGCCTGGGCTCGCTGACAGCGACGCCCGGAAATATCTGCTCAGCCGCAGGCTCCAAGCGCGCGGACATAGCGGATTGACATGTGGCTGTGGCTCGCAAAACCGGTACTAAAATGGGTTGCCCTGGTAAGTGGAAACATAGACCAAAACCTGCGTTTTGCCCCTCCTGTTTAATTTTGAGCCACACCCATGTGTCAAAACCTCCAGTAACACCATGAACATGAACCTCACAAGGCACCATGAGCATCAGCAACGTGAGTGACTTGAGCATTGGCATCCATATGGAAGATCCATACAGCCTCATTCCCTGCAAGCTCCCGCCTGGATCACACACGTATGGGCAGCTCATGCCGACAAACCATCCGCTTTCCACCTGGGAGTTGTTGTACCTGCGACTGAAAGGCAGTGGAATGCAAAGCGAAGCATCGACGAAAGAAGTCCATGCTTTAGGAGTGTCCGCTGCGTTTTAGACAATAGGCCTTGGTGGGAACCCCATGGCCGACTAGAGTTTGGCATGAGCCAAGAAATTGCCCGCGAAATCGGGGCAAACCCAGAGTGAGGATTTTCCTTGTTGGTCTCCTGAGACAATCGCTGAAGTCCCCTACCAAAAACGCCCAAGTGGTATCCGCTTTTGAACCCTCCCTGTTAGCTGCCCCAAACCATCCCAAACAAGCCTATCTGGGCCGATCGACCCCATAGCTCTCAGCTGTTGGGAAAAAAGGAAACTAAATGGATCCACCAATTGCCCCAGCTTTCTGGTGTCCGTTTTGGGAGGAAAAATCAATATGATGTTTTTTCTTTGGAGAGGGTGGAGCTGGGGTGGGGCGGGGTGCCTTGGGGTGGGGAGTTGGGGGTGCCTTGGGGGTGTGGAGTTGAGTTGCGGAGTTTGGTGAGGTCCACCTACGATGCATAATTGATCTCCAAATAAAGTTTTTCGGGGGCCCCGGACTGATTCATCAATTGGGGGGGGGGGGGTTTATTACTCCGAGGGTGTGGGCTCGCGTCGGGTTGGCCAACGCATGGAACCCTTGCCTCCATTTGCTTAAGTCCCCTGCAAAAAAAAATAAATCCAGTAGTGATGACTCCGTCTAAAAACCCACAGGGGAAAATAAACAATATTCTTAACCAAATGGAAGCTTGGAGCCTCCCCGGGTGCTGGCCAGTGGGCCGCGGAAAACGCGGAAACCGCTCACTCCGCGCCTGGGCGCGGCGTGTGGCACCAGCGGCGGCGCGCCGCACTCGCGGCGGCAGCGCCCTGGCAAAACCCATGACCGTGGCTTGGAAAAACGTTATGTACTGGGGTTATTGAGATGTCGACTTTGACCCACGGATGTGGCTGACGGTGCTCAAGGCAATAACTTCCCTTGCGGCCGGGATCTGAGGGCAACCCAGAAACGGTATGGCGGGCAGAACACACCCTGTTCTCCCTGTAAATAACGTGGTTTTCTCAACATGTTGAAACGACATTTTTTGCGCGGCAGTTACAGTGGGGAAGGAAGTTCGGATTGGCATTTCCAAGTTAAACTGCACGTTTGGCTCCTGTAAAACTACCTTAGCCTTTTGCAAAAATGCCTAGCTGCTTGCCTTTTGGGAGCCTTCAATGATTCAAGTAGCCCCGACCTAAGACCTGGAGCTAGCCTTTTGATTTGAGCGATTTGGGGCTCAGGGCTGAGGCTGCGCGTGAGTGGGCGGGCTTACCGTTTGGCAGGCGTGTGAACATGCTGCGCGTGAGCGGGGGCTGCGCGTGAGCGGGTGTGCTTACCACTTGGGAGCCGTGTGTGCAGTGCGAACATGCTGCGTGTGAGCGGGTGTGCTTAGCATTTGGCAGGCGTGTGTGTGTGTGCACTGCGAATGTGCTGCGCATGGCAAAATACAGGGCCATGCCTGTGCTGGTGTGTCACCGCCGAGCAAAACATGGCGTTTGACCCACGCAACATGCGCCGTGGTCCAACTACCACTAAACAGCTACGGGGATGGCAGCCGCCAAGGTTTCTGATCTATAGTCGTTGGCCGCTTTGGAAACCAAGACCAAAACCGGTGGTGTGCCCCAGCGATTCCAGTTTCTGCCACTCCCTGGATGTGGAAAGGTTTACCTGGTGCGAGAAATGCAGGGAAGTAGAATTGGAATGACCCGAGAAAACCATCCAACTGGTGGTGTCCTTTAAGGAAATCCCTGAGCACCAGCAAGTTTCATCTAGGATTGTTTCACTGAACTAACCTGGTTGTTGGTGCCATAAACGTTAAACTGGATGTGCATGGTTGTTGTTTTTCTGGGAGTGGTTCATTGAACTGTTCCCGCCCTTTGCTCGTTAAACTCTAAGCTGCTCCCACCACCCTCCAGGTTTTGGCCTATGCCGGGGGCGGGGGGGGGGGGAGTGGTTGGGGAATCCCCAAGTATGGGTGATATTCTGAGGAGGGGGGACACCGTTGGCTCAGCTACCTGTAAATATTCATTTGAACACCATGCTAAAGGCGGTCCCTAATCTTTGAGAAAACCCACTGGCCATGCGGGCGTGAAACTGTCCAACACCAAAACTGGGGACCGAAAGGAACCCGGTTTTAAGGCGGATTGGCCTTGGCAAGATCTAAAGAGTGCGAATAGCCCCAGGATTCCAAAAACTTCCTTTTGACAAAGATCTGGCTATATTGCTGCATGCTTTCCAGCCATATGGTCGCCCTGTTCGACCAGGGCACTGTGAGAACCCAACCCAACCCCAACCCCGTAACGCCTCTCGTCCGCTAATATGACACCCGTGTCCAGGCATCAAGGGCCAAACAGTGGAGCGTGACTGTGGGTTCTCGGCAGCCTTTCCCCGTGACAGCCCGAAGCAAAGCTGCGGGCATCTTTCGTTGTCCTTTTCACCGCCTTCCCGAAAACGACCCCAGCTTTTCACACGTCGATCCGTGAAAAAACACACACACACACACACACTCTCACACACACACATGCACACGGAAGCGCGAGCGACTCACCCCAGCTCGCACCTGCAGCCATGTACATGCCGTCGTCACCACAGCTGGCAGTTGGGGTGCCGTTGTACATCTCTTCGCACTGGTACCGAACCACCATGCCTCCCAGTCCCGAGATGCCGAGATGGACCCGGATCCATCGGCACGGCTCGTCTCCCAATTTTGGGGGGCTCGGTACCCTTGTTGGGGCCGGTTCAAGGCAAAAGAACAACGAAGCCATTTGTGGGGGGGTCCCCTGAACAAACGACACGCCCATCTAGGTATGTTGACCGCTGATTAATAAACCTCGCTTTTGGAAATCCAGGGGTCAGACCGCCCCCTTCACCATTGGGGGGGTTTATTCATCCGGGGGCAACATTACGAAAATAACCCAACAAGAACCCCAAACACGTGAGAACAAAAGAACCGGTTTCAGGGTTTCGGTTTTCTCCGGGCAAAAACCATAGTTCACAAACCGGAAGCGGGGAACTCGTGGGTAAAGGGACCTTCATCCTAGGCCCGAGCTCGGTTTACCACGTTGCAAGTTGCCCAGATGCACGGTGGACATCCTAGTGGATTAAGAACTCTTGCAGGTGATTAGTTTGACTTTGGTTCCCTTTCAAACCATGGGTTTAAAAAAAAAAAAAAAACGCAGCTGTTCCTATTGAAATCCCCTATGAACCACACCCCTGTTCCCTGCAAAACACCCCCCTACACCCCCCAACCCCCTAGGCTTTTCAAGCTTTTTCCCCTGTCCCTACCACCGCCACCCCCACCCTTTTTCACTCCCTAACTGGCACCAACCGGCCAACAGCCAACCCGACCAACCCCAATCAACGGCCAACCAAACCCCCACCCAACCCCACCCAACCCCAACCCTCCCCCCCCCCCACCAAACAAAAAATACAAAACACCAAGCCCTCCCCCACCCACCCCACCCAAAAAAAAACAAAAACACGCACTAATTCACCCCCCCCCCCACCCACCCAAAAAAAAACCACCTCCCCCGGCCTGTGCTCACATTCCCGCGTCCCGGATCCCAGAGCGGCGCCGCGTGCAGGATCTCCGGGGGCGCGCCGCAGGTGACCTCCACGCAGGCCCCCGACACCACCCAGGTCCTCAGCGCGCGGAACTCCGCGCGGAAAGCTCCGCGCGGAGCTCGGAGGCGTTCTTGGAGAAGAAAGAGAAAAGCTTCGGCCGTGGCTCGAAAAACCGGGATCCCAAAATGGCGCAAGCCCTGGTTAGTGGAAGCATGGACCAAAACCTGCGTAACCCGCCTGTTTAATTTTGAGCAAAGGAGAGAGCGGGTGGTTGGTGGGGATGTGTAGGAATGCGATGAAAGCATAATATGTACATTGTGTTGCAAGCAGTGGAGCTGTAAAGCTACATCCCTGTGAGCACTTCTGAAAAAGGAATGGGAAAAGGACGGGGAAAACGCCTGCCATGAAACAGAACTCCGCTCGGCATCTCCGAAGGGATCCCTCTTGGAAAAGCGAAGTTGGAGACCCAGCTCCGCAACGGCTCCCTTCCATTCGCCAGCTAGAACAAGAGGAAGAGAAATTCAACCAGCGATTCTTTGCAGAGGCGCTTTGTACTTCGCTAGGTCCTCTAGTAGAGGTTAGAATAAAGGTCTCCTTTTTTTCTGTAGTCTATCTTAGTAAGGGCACCCTCCCCCCAAAAAAGAAACGTAGAACGGCACCAATCGCTGGGGCACCTCTTTGGGGTGGGAAAGATGGCTTTCGGGAGAGCCTTCGGGAAGGGGACCAGCAAGGCCCCTTCGGAGCCTTCGGAGGCCGCTGGTCGCAATTTCGTGGGAAGGTCTCAGCGCGAGGTATCCAGGTGTGGACCCTTTAAACCCATCCTATCAGGATGGGCTCCTTTTCTCACGTCTGAACCCCTAAAGAAAGGCGCCCCCCGATCAACATTGTCTCCATGGAACCCTGGGTCTTGAGGAAAATATTTGCCCAGCGAAGCTTGGATACGCGAATGCATCACACAAAGAGCTGGTCGCGTGGATTCATGGGGGCTTTGGGCGCAGAGGAGGCACGACCTGCACACCCCCCCCAAAAAAAAAGACGGAAAAAGGTCTGAAACGAAGGAAAACCAACAGAAGCAGTAGACTCATTCCCTTAGGGCAACCAGAAACCCAGTTTCCCTCAAACAAACCACCCTTCGTTTTCCGTTTTGGGACCTCAGAGGTTCCCAAGAAAGAGTGCCACTGGACTGTCTGCCTTCAAGGAAGCCTATCTTTTCAGTTGTCAAACCATGGAAAGCCAGTGTCCCCTTGGAACGAAAAAAGAACAAGGGGAAAAATAAAAAGGAAAGAAAACAAGAAAGAAGAAAAAGAAGAAGGGAAGGAAAAAAAAGGACACGCTTCGCTTGCCGAAAGGCCCGGTAACATTGCACACCGCCTGCAGGTCGCCCCGGTAGCCGGGCTTGTCCTTGCCGAATCTTTTCCAAATGGCTGTGGGGTCAAAACCAATGGTGCCATTTTGGGGTAGGTGCACCACCCATTTTGGTCTATTTCAGTGGGGATTGGGATGTTCAGGGGGTACGATTTGGATTTTGACCCATGGCCAAATGGCATAGCAGCTTTACTTGGCCATCCATGAGCTTTCCTCCAACAGGTTTTCGTTTGCGCCAAAACACGCACACACAATCATCTAATCAGCATCCCTCTGCTTGGTGGTTTGGTTGATAGAAAGTGGCTTCCCATTTGCCTTTTACAAGAACCGGGGGTGCACTTGGAGGGAATCTACGTCTGGGGTATACGGAAAATAAGGCGTTCGGATTCTGTGTCATGGTCAACATATATGAACTAGGTTTGGAGCAGACCCAGGCTAGACCAACCAGCACTTGCCCTCCGTGTTTCAAGCTTCGGGGGGGCGGGGTTAACAAGTTGGAGGACATCTGCTTGGGAACTGCTTGAACGGAAACCAAATGAAAACCCGATCTTGTGGGTGCTGAGCTGAACTTGACGCTCTGTGAGTCTGTCATTTTTCGAGGGTACCGGTGTTGGGGGTTTAGAGGGAAACCAAAAGGAAAATCACTAATTTGGAGGGTCAACTCAAAGTTTCCAAATGAATCGCAGTGTTCATTCGGGAGCCCTTTTCTGGACATGCTTGGAGTGACATCAACCACGTTCGAGAGGTGTCCCGATTCAAAATAAGACTTCAAAACTTTGTTTCTTTCAGTACGGTCGTGGCACAAACGTAACCGAAACAACTGCAGCTATGAACTCCCTGCCAAATGGAGCGGAAGGGCGGACCAATGGGGAGTCGAACCCGGCGGGGATTGCGTTTTTTCAGTTGATTTTTCAGACATAGTGACCGTGCCCTTGTTCAAAGCATGTTTCACACCTAGACTGTTGACATGGCTCAGACAGCGGGGCTCTCGCGAAAAGCGGCACTCTCCAAATCTCATGGCCACCGGAAATGAACTCTTTCCAAGACCGAGGTGTCAAGTGGCACTTTCAAAAACAACCCCGCAAAAAATGATGGACATCAAATCCGAAGAGACATGAGAACCGCCAAGCATTCCCAGTCGAAATAAGCGTTCTCACAGCTTTAGGACTGGCCGTTGGAATCCAGTCCGGCGAAGCTCGGGATCGAGCTTCAGCGGACCAACAGTCAAAAAGCCCAGCCGCGCAGTCGTAGTGGATCGTCACACCGTAGGTCCAGTTCTGGCGCTCGATGTCCTGAACTCGCGTCCAGCTTTGGGCTCCCCTTTTTAAAAGGAATCGGGCCCTCATGGTGAAACCGCTTTCCGTTTGGCCTCCCTTTAAACCAACCACAAAGGCTCCTCCTCTCCGAAGAAAAAAAAAGCAGTAAGCAAAAACAGCCCCACATACGTTCTCTTGAATGATGATGCTACTCTGGCCTGTGCAAGCTGGATCCATTTTCTTTTTCAACCCTTTCTTTGTGTCCGCCACAGCTGAAATGGGTCTCTTAGATCACGGGAATGCCGAACTTCCGAGTACCCATGTCCACAGGCGGCTGGCGCCCAAAGTGACATGCGGGCATGTGCCTTTTGCAACAGTTTACTACGACAAGGCGATGGCAAGTTCCCAAACCCCAAAACCACTGCAAAGGATGACTGGCAAACAAGTCGTGAATGGGATATGCTTCTTGGGCAACATCCAAGCTGAAAAGAGTTCATGTCAGTGTGTTACGTAGTACCATGTTGCTTGCGCCGATACCAGATTTCGCCGCGGCCAGATGGGTGTGTCTCAAATGGGAGCGAGTTTTACAGACCGACCACAGCGAAAGCAAAGAGCCTTTTGAAACGCGCCCGGCTCGGCTTCCCCCCGGATCGGTGAGCTTGGGAGAGATGAGTTTTGCACACAAATGGTGTCTATACAAATGGGGACCAACAACTGGCGGTTCCTTTCGTTTTCCTGGAACAGCTGGTCAGCATCCTGGTGCATTCCTTCTTTCTCAAGTTGAAGAACTGTGGCGGTTGCGGCATCAGATTGAAAGGCGGCCAGGATGAAATCGCTCGGTCCCATCCCGGATCGGTGAAATGGTGTGTGCGTGTGCGTGTGTTGTACAAATGGGAACCCATCAATGGTGGTGGTTCCTTGAACACCTGGTCTACATCCCGGAAAGCGATCCCTCCATTTACTTAAGCCCCCTGGAGGAAAAAAAACAGCAGTGATAGATTCCCTTTAGAACCAACACAGAAAGAAGAAAAGAAACACTTAACCACATGGAAGGATCCCTTCGCCAACAATTCGGAGGCGCGTGCATGCGGGGGCTCGCATGGGGCAGCCGCGGCGGGTCCCCGCAGCTGATGGCGCTGCAGGAGCCCTGCCAGGTGTAGACGCCTACGGATTGCGCGGAGATCCGTGATGGACGAAGCCCCAGGCCGGGTGATGGACCTCGACATAGGGGCTCCCAGGGCTCCCATGTTCTATGTTTTTTTCTTATGGTGGCGCCCCATTTTCTATGTATTTTTCTTATGGTGGGAAGCAAGAAGGACGCCAATCACCTGTTTGCGCCCCATTTTCTATGTTGTTTCATGGCGGGAAATAAGAACATTGCGCACCACCGTTCAGAAACCCAACGGAATGAGTCGATTCCCCTGTAAATATACCAACAAACAATGCTTTCCCACGGTTTCAAAGCGGTGCAGGATTTCGTCCATCCACAGCAGGGCTCCCATTTTCTTTGTTTCATGGCCAGGACATATCAAGGACGCCGATCACCTGAAGGATTCCCCCCTTTTTGAGCAACGCGCCTATGGGGACTGGGATATATAAACCGCCTGGGCAGGAGATGGGCCATCCACAGTATGGAGTGGCAAAGAGCTTACAGTGAAACTGGCCAAGTTCGGTCAAACAGGGAGTCCAAGGGAAACCAAAGGGAAACCAAAGGGAAACCAGGCTGTCTGCGGGGCTTTGTTTTTGGCATACGGGGAAACCATGTAAACTATTTGGGGGAGGACAGTACTGGGAAACGCACTAGGGTAACGTTGCGTGTCACCATGTGTTCTGTTTTCTTTTCGCGGGCGAGACATGTAAGAGAAATTGGAGGTTTCGCACCCATTGGAGGATGGACAAAATCCTGCTCCTGCATGTGTTTTTTCTACTAGCATTCAATGTCATCGTCCCAACAAGTGCGCTTGCATGTGTGCTCGCATATCCCATCGAAAGGGCTCTGGTGACTCTTGACTGCCAATCCCACCAACAAACATGGAAGTGCACAGACCTGTTTTGGAAGGCGACTTTCCGTTTGGCAAGGGGTGACGCTTTTTTGCAAAACACTAAAATGGCAGGGTATCCTTTTTGTTCCCTTCAAATACGTGTAAAAACCATTTTGAGCAACCACCAATTGAGCAACCAAAATCAGTCATGAGTACAGGAGTAAACCAGTGCAAACTATTCAGGCTTTTATATGGGATTGAACTTGAACAGGAGACCCTTTCGTGGACATCAGAATTCGGCGGGGATTCATGTCCGCCAACCACTTCTTATCGTTTCCATTAAACCCCAAAATTGGGCTCCGAAATCCAGTTGAAGAAACACTCCTCGGACACAATTTCCAACTTGGTGGTCCCGTTGCTCCTTTGTCAGGCCACTCATTTGAAGCCTGGTTCTTGTAGAGGTTTAATGGGAACCAATTCCGGAACACCGCTAAACCACCGGGCTCCAAACCACCAATGCGAAACCAGCAGAATAGGACAACCTCCAAAACCTGTCCAAAAACATAGACACCCTATATGGCTAGGTTTTGAGGGTACCGATATTTGGGCGGTGTTAGAGGAAAATCCAAAGGGAAACAACTTCAAAGGGAAACAACTTCCTCGTCTTCTTCCCTTTTTTGTGGTGAGGGTGTACCCTAAAAGAAAGACACTCCCAAGGAAAAGAAAGACAACTTCTTCGTGTTTTTTTTGTGGGGGGGAAGTGGGGGGGGGGGTTACCCGAAACAAAGGCACCCCCAGGTCTCTCCCCACGTCTTCTTCTGCCCTTTTTGTTCAGGGGGGAGGGGGTACTACACAAAAAAGAAACACCCATAGTTTTTGTTTGTTTTTTTTTTGGGGGGGGGGGGGGGGTTTAAGAGGAAACCCCAAAGGAAAACCACTTCTTTGGAAAAAAACAAGACAAACCTCTTGGGTCCTCGATGTCGACTTTTTTTGTGGCCACAAGCCAGCACCAGCGCTAAAAGACGTGCCTGGAGCGATCCACCTCTCTTCTCAGGCTCTCGAGCGGACAGGCCCCGATGGTCAACCCAGGTGGGTATGACCCTCCAACACACTCGCCATAATGATGGTTACGGTTGTGGACCATCAATCACCCTTGTGGTTTCAACATGAACCACAGGGAAACAGCATGCGTGGGGTTGGTGTTCTGACCAAAGGCTTGACTTACGAAGGTTGCACATCCACCTTGACGCGCAAGCGCCTTCGACAGCACAGATTTTGGCCTCCACTTGACGCCTCCTTCAAGCAGGACTGGCTGCCCCACCTGAGGATAGGCCTCCCCTGCTCACTCCAAGTGAAGCAGGCAGGCGGCCAGCAAGCACTCGTAGCTCATCGTCTTGCTGTCATCCGCGGCACCCGAAGAAACGTACACGGGTTGGCCCCAACCGCCCTGCAAGAACGACCTAGTCACCCCTGCACCGTCACCCCGTTTTGGGCGGGACTCAGCCGGCTCGGCACCTGCTTTGGTAGGGGCGCACTGCTGGCAGGAGATGGCTTGCTTCTTGCCGTGTGCTGCTGCCCCACGCCAGGCCAGCGTTGCGCAGAGAGTACCCTCCAAATAGTCGGGCGCTAGGGCTCTCTGTGGGTAGGGCCTAGGCAGAAACCGCATCCATTCACAACCTCCGATGTTGAAAAACCTGGTCACAACAAAGCGAAACCGAATAAGCATGCACGAGAGTTGGATCTCAAATGGGACCACAAAGAACTACCTAACAAGGGACAGGTTCTCAAGGGCTCGGGGCAGAGGCGCAAACAGCAGCTGCTTACCGCGCAACTGGGAGAGCTTGTCCAAGCTGGCTGACCACAAGGCCACGTGCGGGTTACCGCAAAACGTCTACCTGGACCCTCGAACTACCCTTACACCCCCAGACCTCTCCCCCCGCGGTCACCGCCTTGGGCGGAGCACCCCAGCTGCGGCGGCTTCGACGGCCCAGCGAAGTGCCCCGGCGCGCAGCCCAGCTGAGTCTCGGCGCAGAGGGGCAGCCAGGCCCCAGCCACCCCCGGGCTGCTCCTAAAAGGACGGCCAAACCGTGCGGGCCAAGCCAAGCCAAGCCAAGCCAAGCCAAGCTTGCGGTAGGGTGCAAGGGGGCATGCAGCTTAGTTTGGTCTTGGAGGGTGCTGTTTGGGATGCTCTTCAAGATAATGATGCGGGCGCATGTTTGCTCGAGCGTGCTTCGGGGGGATGCTTTTGGAGGTGCTGGTGTACAAGCGCTATCTGGGGTCTATGCTGGTGTAATATGGCCATGGGTCAAAAACTCTGTACCCCCAGTGAACATCCCAATCCCCACTATAAAATAAACTAAAATGCGTGGTGCACCTACCCCAAAATGGTACCATTGGTTTTGACCCACAGCCATATTAGAAGTTAGACCCCCCAATAGCCTTCAGCTATCTGGGGAAAAACACTACCCCTATCTCTGGTGCCAGGTCACCAGGTCTCGGCCGTGTGGTTCAGCAGCGCAAAGTGCAGGTCCGCGCGGCTCTGTAAGAAGTGCGCCACGTCTCCTTGGCCTGACAGCCACATGGAAAAAGACGCTGATTTGCGGTGTGTTGCGGCCATTTCCTTGGTTGACGTTGGAAGGGGAGCAAAAATTTAAGTTTTACGAGTTAAGTGGGGATTTCCCACCAAACCACAACAAGCAAAAATGTAACATGTTTCCCAACAACAACCACGTTGCAAAGCTCGAAGTGCAGTTTGAGGGTCCACTTGTGGACGTTCCTCTTCTGGAAGATCAAAGAAACTTGCGGTACTCTGCTCCTGCTTACTGGGCGACAGTGCGAGCTTTCGTAGATTCTGATTTGTCCATTAAACTCTGTCGTCTTGTAGCACCTCGCCTGTTTATCATCTCTCGCTTTAGCTTGTTCTTCGGCTCTAGCGTGCTCTGCCGCAGCACTCGCAGCTTCCGCTGCTTGGAGAGCTTCAACAGCTTCCAGGCCGCCCCTCCCCCGGAAAAAAAAGACTGTGGGTGTTCCTTGAAACCATCCCACCACCAAAAACACCTCGCCTTTCCCACCGATCTTCCCCCGAACGTCCGCATCCGCTCGCTAACCCCCGAACCCCCGTCTCGTGGCCTGCGCAGGAGATGTTCCGCAGCGGGCCGGGGGTCTGCTGCTGCGGGGGGATCATCGTTAAGAGCGCCTTGGAGCTGGCCTCGGCGACTGCAAAAAGGCCACCCTGAGCCTGGCGGCCCCAGGCGGCGCCCAGCTCGGGTCCATAGATAGAATTTTGATCCCACCGTAGAAAACCGTTGGTGCTTTTAAAGGTCACTGAGGTCACTGGATTGAAAAACCAAATCACTATTCCTCCCTTCCCCAGGTCTCCCCCGATAGGTTTGTTTGATCCCACCTTTGAAAAACCGCTTGGTTCTTCTTAAGGTCACTGGATTTCCAAGCAAATCACGAGTTGATCAATTGACTGGTGGCCAACCCTAGTAAGACGATCGCCTAAGGGTCCAAGAAGGGAAATGGGTTCCGACCTCCGTTTTGCTTCCAATTTGCTTTGGATTGGATTGAGTGCAACCCATTTGCAAAGACCCAGTTCGAACAACTCTGCTTGGTTTGCGTTGGGCGAATTTTTGGGGGGGGGAAAACGAGTTGAAACAGCCTCAATTGGGAGAAAACGTGGGTCGTGCTTGTTGCCAGTGCACACTACCATGCAAAGGAAAGGGGTTCGTTCCTGGATTCCCTGTAACCCATTTCTGAAAAAGGTTGTGGCACCTGGCCGCGTGTCCCCTTCAGCCCAGCTCCCCCTTCCTGTGACCAACGCCTCGACCAATGCGAGGCGCGCAGGAGGCGAGGAGTCCCAGGAAGGCGTAGAAGCCGAGCTTGGCCAAGGACACCGGGGCCGAGACTTCGGGAAGTCCTCGGTCCATCAGAGCTCAAACCCGGGACACGGGCATAGGTGGTCAGTGTGGAAAAAAACGATGGGGCGTTTGCCTGGTAAATGGACATGAAACTCATCGAGCCCATCCATTTCTACCAAGCTGAACCAGTGGAACCCAGCTATTTTTAAACCAAACTATAGCCTAAAAAAAACACCTATGAGCACCCGGGTCCTCAAGAACTAGCACGGTAACCGAAAAAGCAGAAACTTGGGCTGGAATGGATGGATAAAGTTTCGTTCGCGTTCACATTAGGCTCAAATTTGACTGCAGCTATGGCAATGCTTGGGACCGATAGCTGTTCAAGCACTTAAGATGGCCTCAGGCTTCAATTGGTCAGGTTGATAGCCCATTGAATTCCAAGCCTCCGGCAATGCTTTGGGGCTCCGAAAACACCCACCTCGAATGAATCGGAACCCATGAATCCACCCCGTTTCAGGGGACAACCAGCTTTCAGGGGTTGTAGCCCCAAAACAAGTCCTGGTTCATTCATGTGGGTTAGAAATAGGCTGAGCCGAGGAACCCCCAGCCAGGAGATACATAACGGACAAACCCTGGGCTTGATGCAGACTTTTGACATGGGAATGGTCGAGATGCGAGCCGGATGGCCCAAACTTTGACGGATTTGGCCCGGTGTCCTTTGTGCTTCTCTTGAAAAAAACAATCCCAGAAATCAGAAAGCGGAACATCAGGGCAAGTCGCGAACATCTCCTGAACGAAAATAAAAAGAGGGCCCTTCTTTCCTAAGATCCCATACGAACCCCCGGGACCTAAAAGTATTCGGGGAGCCGGTGCGGCACAATGCGGGTCCCTGCCGGCTCTTTGCTGGTTTTGGTGTCCGCCTCCTTTTGCTGAAACCCTGGAAACACTCCGTGTTGGACCTCCTTGTTGCGAAAACGTCCTTTTTTTCTCGATATTTTGGGCGGGCGCCACCATGGAACTTGGCTTCCTTTCCAGGGAAATGCATGAAAGTAATGGGGAAAGAAGGGGGAATCAAGGGAAACGCAACGGCACGCAGGGGACAGGAAGTTGAAATGACAGGCAATCAAGAGGAAAAGGGAAACGAAGGGATGCCGCAAAAATGACAGGGAAATTAAGGGGGACTTGAAAGGAAATGAAGGAGACCTGATGCGGAGAAATGATAGGAAATGACAGTGTAAGGAGACAATACACGAAAGTGCACGGACATCGAGGCAGCTCGGGACATGACATTGCAACGCACCAGGGAGCCGAAAGGGAACTGCAAGGGACCTGCAGGGAAACGAAATGAAGGGGAAATGAAAGGAAAACCAAGGGAGGAGAACGAGCGGAAACGATCCATCTGCATAATCGCAGTTCCAGCGTGCACAAGCTGATTGATTGGAACTGAAGGGGGCATGCATGAAAGGAAGTTGACAGGGAAATTACGTAGGGTTTGGGGGAGGGGGGGGGGGTTCGAGGAGCGAGAACGAGGAGCGAGAGAGACAGGCATAGACAAAGAGAGAGAGAGAGAGAGAGGGAGAGAAAGAGAGAGAGCGAGAGAGAGAGAGACGGAGAAAGAGAAAAAGGAGAGGCCAATATCCGCCGATGTTGCTGGGCGTGTCGAACACCTTTGGAGAGGATAGACGATGTTTCTCGGAGCTGGCAGTCCCGGGCTCGATTCCCCCTGCCGGCTCTTTGCCGCTTCGAGTTTTCGAGCGTCCTTTTTGCGATAGCGATTGCAAGCTGCCGTGTTGGCACAAGATAGGCAGGGGCTGCAGGGGGCATTGAGGGTGCCGGCCGCGCGGGGTTTGCTGCTGTGCCACTAAACGTTGTCTTTGGGAGTCTGGTCTGGGTTGCTCTGGCGGGCTTGCATCCCGCTGCCGTCTTCGGGCGGCTTTGCAGGGGTTTGGTGGCTTGGCTGACTTGTTTGCGGCCCATGCGCCATGGCAGAGTTGTTTGCACTTGGAACTTTCGCGTCCGTGCAAGGAACCTGCCGGGACCGGTGAGACAGATCTGTGACTTCTCGTCAAGCTTTGGTCGAATCATGCCTCCAGAGCGATCTGGTGCTGAGCCCGCTCCACACATGCTATGGTCTCCATTGAACCCAGGTGAACGTCTCATTGCCAGACCAAACCAGCGCGAATACTCCCTGCAGCAGCGCCACCCAAAGCAAGGGCACGTCCGCGCAGGCCACGAGGTGTTTCCGGTGTCTTCTCGGCTTGAGTGGGTCGATGCATAAGATCCCTATGACAAAAACCTTCATGGGAGACTTCGCCCCCCGCGAAACGTAAGGTCGAAACCCCATGAAACCCCATTCGGTGGCCCAGCCAAAACAAGTCCAGCAAACGGTTCGCATTCGATTCTGCAGGAAAGCCCTGCGCTTTTTGGCGTGGAAAGCCAACTTCTTCCAAGAGGGGCAGCCCACATGGAGGCTACAAACAGAGGGGTTTGGATTCCCGCGGGCTTCAGCCATTCGTCGAAGATTCACCTGGTTTCCAGCCCGAAACCACAATCTCCAGACCAAAGGCGGGCAGAAGCCGTCTTGATCTCCAAAGACCAGCCATCAAGGCAATGCCAAGGTCGGCAGACTGAGCCGGAGGCTCCGAAGAGTTTGCAACCAGCTGCTATGGCTGGCGTCTTTTCTTGCCCGCCATGAAACGAGAAGCTTCACTTTGTCAAGACACTCATCTTAGGTCCATGCCTGATATCCAACAACAAGACCAAGAACCGCCCAAATCCGAGGCCTGGCGCCAGGAAAAGCGTATTGCAAACATAGGCGGCCTTTTGGTTAAAAATAGATGGATTTCCCTGGCAAATGGAACAAAAATACCATCTAAACCAGTGGAACCCATCAATTTTCAACCAAGCTCACCGATCAAAAGGACGCCCATGATTCCAGAACGGCGACATCCTTCCGCCGGGCGGCGCACCGTGCGGGCCTCGAAGGGCGAGGGCTGGTAGTCCAGCAGCGTCTCCATGCGGCCTCGGCGCAGAAGGCAACTTCCATTTGCTCCTTCGCCCCTTGGAAGAAATAAAGCTATATGTCCAGTAGTGACAGATTCCTTCTAAAAACCAGCAGGGGGAAATAAAAATATTCATTTCAGCAAATGGATGGTAAAGGCCACCTCACACTGAAAGGTCGAGGGGCGGATTTCCCAGTTTCAACCCTTCTCCCGGCCCTTCTCCCCGGGCTTCCGGAGGCTTTCTGGACAGAAAGATCCACGTTCAACTCGACTGGCAAGAACGAAATGGGAAAATTACAGAAAAAAGAGATGCCCAATTCCCTTTCAGTCGGGCAAGGCGATCATGAAACCATAATGGGGGAATTGGTTCATCTACTTCACTCAACAGTGCCCAATGCACAAATCCGTATTTTGATCATCTGCGATTTTACCCTCGGCGATTTTCCCGGTGATCCTGGGCAATTGCCCGGGGCAGGCAGGAACGAGCTACCCCACACCCCAGGATTGCTAAGCATAGCTCCAGCAGTGCTTGCTTGATGGATTGGATTGGATTGGAATGGATTCGATTCGATGCGATGCGATTTGCGATTTGCGATTTGCGATTTGCGATTTGATGTGATTTGTGATTTGATGCGATTTGTGATTTGATGCGATTTGTGGTTTGACTTGACTTGACTTGATTTGATTTGATTTAGATTGAGTTGATTGATTGATTGACTGGTTGATTGATTGATTGAGCTTTGGTGCTGGTTCCTGAATTGCTAGTCCTGTCATGGATGTTTTGGCATACCATCCGTCTTTGCGTGCGCGGGAAACTAGAAACGGGCGATTGTTCACAGCCTTTGTGGCTGTCGGTTGATGGAAACCTTGGCCAAATGAAAAGGCAACCCTAACCTCACCAACTCAAACCACCAAAGGTACCACCGGATTTCAGTTGGTTTGGTGGTTGGGTGTCCAACTTTTGCACACTCAAACTTGCTGGTGCTCAGCAATAAATGAGAAATGACCCTACGCCCTACATGGAACCAAAACAATTAGGGTATAACCACCAAACTGGGTCCTCCAGTAAAAAGGTTAGAATAAGGGTACCCATTTTTTCTGCAGTCGATTTTAGTAGGGTTGAACCCTCCCCCAAAAAAGTTGGTGAGAAAGTTGGCACCTAGCTGGGGGACCTTTGCTAGGTACTCCCCTACAAACCTGTCGCACACTCAAACGAAGTGACCCTACGCCCTACATGGAATAATTAGGGCATGGGCTCCAAACAATTAGGGTATAACCACAAAAGGTACCCTCCTCCCCCCCCTTCCCCCCCCCCCCACCCTCCCCCTCCTCCCCCCTCCCCCCCCTTCCCCCCCACAAAAACACGGACCCACAGCTCCACAGACTTTAGTCGCTTCGCCGCGGGGCTGTCGCTGCTGATCACCGACGGAGTCGCGGGCGTCTCCGCGGCGTCAGAGGGCGCGGCAGGGGCCTACTTTTGGGCGAGGTGTGGGCCCCAAAAATGGGGGAAGAGACACGCTATTTCCGGATGAAACGAAATCCTGCACCACCTAAACAGACCCAAGAATGAATCGTTTTTTTCTGACCAAGAAACGTTATGGCTTCAACCATAGTTTCTGAACGGTGGCGGGTTTTCTGGATTTTGCCGCCATTCAAAGCACGTCCGCTTCCCCCCCTTGCTTGGATTGGCGAGTTGGAGCTTAGAGATGGCTTCAACCAGGGGTTCAAATCGAACCGCCAATCCAAATCCGCCTTCAGGTTTCATGCTATACTCTCCTCACGAGTGGGCGGGCCAAAACAAGTCGGAATTTTATAATTACCACTGAAATAATATTCCCAAACAATTTAAAGTCCGCGAGCTCGGGGAGCAAGAATATGGAGCGGCGGTGTCAGTTCCCCGGAAAAAGAATTACGAAAGGCTCCCTCGACCGTTCACTTTGGGTATTGGCAAATTTCCGGATTTCCAAGGAGAAACTCGCGGACGTACCGCCGGTGGGAGCACTAGGGTCTGCCGAATGGAAACTTGTATAAGGATCATCCTCACACGGCAGCACGCATGCCTCATACAAGCTGTACTTCACAACTTAAACAAGAGAGGCGGCATACCGCAAGCCTCACTACTCAAGCTGACCAACACAGGATGGCATGTCAGCATGTCCGCATGCAAGGCCGTGATCAGACAGCAGGACGGTGTTTGACTCACAAGCGTTTTCCACAACGTACCCCCGGCGGTAGCACTAGGGTCTGCCGAATGGAAACTTGTATGGATCATCCTCACACGGCAGCACGCATGCCTCATACAAGCTGTACTTCACAACTTAAACAAGAGATACCGCAAGCCACACTACTCAAGCTGACCAACACAGGACGGCATGTCAGCATGTCCGCATGCAAGGCCGTGATCAGACAGCAGGACGGTGTTTGACTCACAAGCGTTTTCCACAACGTACCCCCGGCGGGAGCACTAGGGTCTGCCGAATGGAAACTTGTAAGGATCATCCTCACACGGCAGCACGCATGCCTCATACAAGCTGTACTTCACAACTTAAACAACAGAAGCGGCATACCGCAAGCCTCACTACTCAAGCTGACCAACACAGGACGGCATGTCAGCATGTCCGCACGCTGAGCCGTGATCAGACAGCAGGACGGTGTTTGACTCACAAGCGTTTTCCACAACGTACCCCCGGCGGAAGCACTAGGGTCTGCCGAATGGAAACTTGTAAGGATCATCCTCACACGGCAGCACGCATGCCTCATACAAGCTGTACTTCACAACTTAAACCAGAGGGGCGGCATACCGCAAGCCTCACTACTCAAGCTGACCAACGCAGGACGGCATGTCAGCATGTCCGCATGCAAGGCCGTGATCCGACAGCAGGACGGTGTTTGACTCACAAGCGTTTTCCACAACGTACCCCCGGCGGAAGCACTAGGGTCTGCAGAATGGAAACTTGTAAGGATCATCCTCACACGGCAGCACGCATGCCTCATACAAGCTGTACTTCACAACTTAAACAAGAGATACCGCAAGCCTCACTACTCAAGCTGACCAACACAGGACGGCATGTCAGCATGTCCGCATGCAAGGCCGTGATCAGACAGCAGGACGGTAAAGCTTGACTCACAAGTACTAATAACGCACATCACTTTGGGCGGAGCACCAGGGTCTGCCGCACGGAAACTTGTATGATCATCTCACAACGCGCAGCACGCATGCCTCATGCCAAGCTGTACTTCGCCACCCTAAACTAAGAGAGGCGGCATACCGCAAGCCTCACTACTCAAGCTGACCAACGCAGGACGGCATGTCAGCATGTCCGCATGCAAGGCCGATCAGACAGCAGGACGGGTGTTTGACTCCACAGGCGTTTTCCACAACGTGACCTGGCGGGAGCACTAGGTCTGCCGAATGGAAACTTGTAAGGATCATCTCACACGGCAGCACGCATGCCTCATACAAGCTGTACTTCACAACTTAAACCAGAGAGGCGGCATACCGCAAGCCTCACTACTCAAGCTGACCAACACAGGACGGCATGTCAGCATGTCCGCATGCAAGGCCGTGATCAGACAGCAGGACGGTGTTTGACTCACAAGCGTTTTCCACAACGTACCCCGGCGGGAGCACTAGGGTCTGCCGAATGGAAACTTGTAAGGATCATCCTCACACGGCAGCACGCATGCCTCATACAAGCTGTACTTCACAACCTAAACCAGAGAGGCAGCATGCTGACCAACACAGGACGGCATGTCAGCATGTCCGCGTGCAAGGCCGTGATCACATAGCAGGACGGTGTTTGACTCACAAGCGTTTTCCACAACGTACCCCCGGCGGAAGCACTAGGGTCTGCCGAATGGAAACTTGTGAGGATCAGCCTCACACGGCAGCACGCATGCCTCATACAAGCTGTACTTCACAACTTAAACAAGAGAGGCGGCATACCGCAAGCCTCACTACTCAAGCTGACCAACACAGGACGGCATGTCAGCATGTCCGCATGCAAGGCCGTGATCAGACAGCAGGACGGTGTTTGACTCACAAGCGTTTTCCACAACGTACCCTCGGCGGGAGCACTAGGGTCTGCCGAATGGAAACTTGTAAGGATCATCCTCGCACGGCAGCACGCATGCCTCATACAAGCTGTACTTCACAACTTAAACAAGAGAGGCGGCATACCGCAAGCCACACTACTCAAGCTGACCAACGCAGGACGGCATGTCAGCATGTCCGCATGCAAGGCCGTGATCAGACAGCAGGACGGTGTTTGACTCACAAGCGTTTTCCACAACGTACCCCCGGCGGGAGCACTAGGGTCTGGTCGAGGAAACTTGTAAGATCATCCCCACCACGGCAGCAAGCATGCCTCATACAAGCTTTGTACTTCACAACTTAAACAAGAGAGGCGGTATACCGCAAGCCACACTACTCAAGCTGACCAACACAGGACGGCATGTCAGCATGTCCGCATGCAAGGCCGTGATCAGACAGCAGGACGGTGTTTGACTCACAAGCGTTTTCCACAACGTACCCTCGGCGGGAGCACTAGGGTCTGCCGAATGGAAACTTGTAAGGATCATCCTCACACGGCAGCACGCATGCCTCATACAAGCTGTACTTCACAACTTAAACCAGAGAGGCGGCATACCGCAAGCCTCACTACTCAAGCTGACCAACACAGGACGGCATGTAAGCATGTCCGCATGCAAGGCCGTGATCAGACAGCAGGACGGTGTTTGACTCACAAGCGTTTTCCACAACGTACCCCCGGCGGGAGCACTAGGGTCTGCCGAATGGAAACTTGTAAGGATCATCCTCACACGGCAGCACGCATGCCTCATACAAGATGTACTTCACAACTTAAACAAGAGAGGCGGCATACCGCAAGCCTCACTACTCAAGCTGACCAACGCAGGACGGCATGTCAGCATGTCCGCATGCAAGGCCGTGATCAGACAGCAGGACGGTGTTTGACTCACAAGCGTTTTCCACAACGTACCCCCGGCGGGAGCACTAGGGTCTGCCGAATGGAAACTTGTAAGGATCATCCTCACACGGCAGCACGCATGCCTCATACAAGCTGTACTTCACAACTTAAACAAGAGAGGCGGCATACCGCAAGCCTCACTACTCAAGCTGACCAACACAGGACGGCATGTCAGCATGTCCGCATGCAAGGCCGGTGTTTGACTCACAAGCGTACCCCCGGCGGGAGCACTAGGGTCTGCCGAATGGAAACTTGTAAGGATCATCCTCACACGGCAGCACGCATGCCTCATACAAGCTGTACTTCACAACTTAAACCAGAGAGGCGGCATACCGCAAGCCACACTACTCAAGCTGACCAACACAGGACGGCATGTCAGCATGTCCGCATGCTGAGCCGTGATCAGACAGCAGGACGGTGTTTGACTCACAAGCGTTTTCCACAACGTACCCCCGGCGGGAGCACTAGGGTCTGCCGAATGGAAACTTGTAAGGATCATCCTCACACGGCAGCACGCATGCCTCATACAAGCTGTACTTCACAACTTAAACCAGAGAGGCGGCATACCGCAAGCCACACTACTCAAGCTGACCAACACAGGACGGCATGTCAGCATGTCCGCATGCTGAGCCGTGATCAGACAGCAGGACGGTGTTTGACTCACAAGCGTTTTCCACAACGTACCCCCGGCGGGAGCACTAGGGTCTGCCGAATGGAAACTTGTAAGGATCATCCTCACACGGGAGCACGCATGCCTCATACAAGCTGTACTTCACAACTTAAACAAGAGAGGCGGCCAAGCACACACTACTCAAGCTGACCAACGCAGGACGGCATGTCAGCATGTCCGCATACATGGCCGTGATGATCAGACAGCAGGACGGTGTTTGACTCACAAGCGTTTTCCACAACGTACCCCCGGCGGGCACTAGGTCTGCCGAATGGAAACTTGTAAGGATCATCCTCACACGGCAGCACGCATGCCTCATACAAGCTGTACTTCACAACTTAAACAACAGAGGCGGCATACCGCAAGCCACACTACTCAAGCTGACCAACGCAGGACGGCATGTCAGCATGTCCGCATGCATGGCCGTGATCAGACAGCAGGACGGTGTTTGACTCACAAGCGTTTTCCACAACGTACCCCCGGCGGGAGCACTAGGGTCTGCCGAATGGAAACTTGTAAGGATCATCCTCACACGGCAGCACGCATGCCTCATACAAGCTGTACTTCACAACTTAAACAAGAGAGGCGGCATACCGCAAGCCTCACTACTCAAGCTGACCAACGCAGGACGGCATGGCAGCATGTCCGCGTGCAAGGCCGTGATCAGACAGCAGGACGGTGTTTGACTCACAAGCGTTTTCCACAACGTACCCCCGGCGGGAGCACTAGGGTCTGCCGAATGGAAACTTGTAAGGATCATCCTCACACGGCAGCACGCATGCCTCATACAAGCTGTACTTCACAACTTAAACAACAGAAGCGGCATACCGCAAGCCGCACGAGTCAAGCCGACCAACATCGATCCACACAAGACGGAATGTGCTTTTGAGGGGGGTCGAAGATTCGGATCATCGCACCTGTCGCCACTTGTGGTCTATCCCGGCATTCATTGGGCACTGGGGTGTGGTCTTATTTCGAGTTGGTACCCGGTACCCCCCTTTGTGACCTTAACGGGCAACTTAAAAGGAAAACCACCTTCTTGGGTGGACCTCAAAAAAACAACGCACCCATGGAAGGTTTTGTCAATCAGCATCAGACATGGTGCCATGCCTCAACTCGCACTCCATTATCCGTATCAAATTTTACCACAAAGGGGACCACGTTCGCAACTCCGGGCTGTCCAGCCTGATCCCCGAGCTTCGCTTCGTTGAAATAAGATCAGAAACCCCACCGAACCAACTCAAAAGCGTAACAAAAACAAAAAACCAAAGGAGCTGGATGCCTGGGGCGTGGAACACCCCGAGCTTTCTGGAGAATCGGTTTCCTCTTTGCACTTGGCGTGAAGCCTCCCTTTTTTTCTGGATATGGTCCATATGGTTCTTGGTATCGGTCATTTGGAAGGAGGCCTCCCATTGGTACCACAGACGTGGGTGATTCTCGCAACCTGCAAAGCTGGTAATGTTTTGTTCAGAGTGATACCTGCAAAGCTGGGTTTTGGGACTGGTTCTTCTTGTTTTGAAGGGTTTTCTTAAAGGGCCTCTTTCAGCCTGAAGGAAACTCACGATCCCCTCCAGTTCGGAGGGAAATCCTGCAGTTGCGGAGTTGAAATCCCGACCGAAACTTCACCTAAAAAGCATAGGGGAGTCTCTATCTCAAAATCCGGCGGCCCGCCAAAAAGTATCATGGCTTGACTTCCTTTTGCCTCCCCTTCCGACTCCCCTCCCCCGCAAAATCCCCAAAACCGGACCAAACACTTGCCTCGTCCATGGTGCGCAGCCATGCGACCAGCCAGGGCGACAGCTCCTGCGTGCTTTGTTCGGAGAAAATTCAGGGGATGCAACGCAGCATGCAATGAAGAGATGAAGCGTGAACATGGGATCTGCAGATTTTGCTAGTCCAAAAGCTGATTTAAGGGTTTAGGATTTTACTAGGAGTCCAACAGCTGATTTAAGGGTTTAGCAAGTAAAGTACCATTTTCATGGTGAGCTCTTGCACCAGGTGAGCTCGCGACAAAACAGGCAGACGAACCTTTATCTCGGTGGCTCGTCTTTTCCGAGGTACGCGGATGGAGAAGAAAATGTGTCAAAGGGTTAAGACCTGATCTCGCCTACACAGGCCGCAAATCCAGGAATTGCAAAAACACCCAAAAAACTCAACAAACAAATCCGCCTGTTGTGCGCGCTTTTGCCCTTGCGCTCCGCGCGAACCATTTGCCGGCCGAGCTGCGGGCTCTGCGCTGCGGAAGCGGTAGAAGGGGTAGGCCTGAAGCTCCAGCCGCTGTCTCGGATCGGGATACCGAATTGGGAAAAGACGGGGATGCAACGAGGTCCTCCAGATTTGAGAGGTTGGAATAAGTTGGTACCCGATGTTTTCTCCGCAGTCTATTCTATGTAAGGGAACCCTCCCCCAAAAAAGAAAGGTAAAAGGGGCACTACTGGGGGACCTAGGCAATAAGAAAGATACACGAAGAAAATGTCCCGTTGCATGACCCTCGCAGTCTGCACTCTCCGAGAGAATTGATTTGAGAGGTCTAAGTTGACAAGCGCATGGCCCTGCCGGCCCTGTCTCAGCTCTAAGTTGACTCACCGGGTCGAGGCTAGAACGAAACCAAAGGCCCTCCTTTGATCGCGACCCAGTGAGTGCGCCCAGCCGTGGCGACCTGAGTCCGTCCCTCCAACCGAGCAGCTAAGAAGGTGTGCACCGTGGCCAGCAGAGGCATCCAGAAGGCGTAGAGAAGGCCTTCTGTGAAGTCAGGCTCTACCCATGGGAAATTGTCCCGTGCATTTCGCTAGGCGTTCCTTGGGTTTTGCCAGTGGTTCCCTCCCAAAAACATCCAGAAGGCCTGGGATCAAGTCAGATATCCTGTGCATTTCCCCAGTTCCTTGGGCTTTGTCCGTGTTTCCCAACCTTTTCCCAGGTTCCCAAAAATGTTTCAAGTGTTTCCCACACGGCCCACCAACATGGCGGTTTGCCCTCTGGCTTTGCACGATACCCTCAGTCCTGCAAGCTGCGAGGCGAGCAGAACTTGCTACCCAAAGAACCCGAGCATCTGCTTCTCCGTGAAGTCGCCAAACCAAGTCTCTTCGAGACTTGAAATGGGGCTGGCTGTGTGCTTGTTGTTTTCTCCCCCGGATGAAAGCTTTGGGGTCACAGCCCAGATAGGCTCCGGGGTGGTCAGGGGCGGTCCTCAGGTGAGGTTCCACGAGGGTTTTACCATGTTCCCACGAGGGTTCCACGAAGTTCTGGAGGGCTGCGGGGTGGCGCGAGCACTAAAGAGAGCACCGCAACAAATCTCTATTGGGGTGTCCCTGGATTTAGTGTGGAATCATTACTTTTGGAGGGGAACACCCCTTATTAAACAGGGGTTGATGAATCGGGGCTCATTAGGAGAAATCAAAGGAAAGCCGCCAGTTTGGGGCTCACCCTATTTTGACGCAGAACCAAATAGGGCAAAGGGCCCTACAACCAATGCGTGGCGCCACCCGCCAAGGCTGGAAATCCGAATGTTGCCAGCCCATTTGGATGTCTCACCGGATGGATGTGCTGGGCAACAGCAGGCAATGGACATTGACTACACATGTGCACTTGTTCTGCATGTTTTCCCGAAAATACGGGTATGTCCTAGTTTGGTCGACATCCTAGAAAAACATATACATGTGTATCTATATATATATATATACAGATATACAGATTTATATGTATATGATTCCTAGAATTTATAAAAACCAGAGATCAGCCGTCCCCAGGTCACCCCTTGCCATACTAGCGCTCCGAGGCGCAGTGGAGAAGGTAGACCTGCGTGGTGCTCCAGTGCAGTGGGGAGGCCAACGCAGAGATGACCAGCCACTGGAAGTAGGTCACAGACACGATGCCTGCCAGCGAGAAAAAGCTTGGGATCAGCTCGCTCCGAGCAAAGCATGGTTTCTGGAGGGTCACGGGAAACCAGCTATTTTAAGAGTGTTGCTTCTGGATTTGTTTCTGGGTTTGTTTCTGGAGGTTTTTGCCCCCCCCCCCCATTTTAAGACACAAGTTGATTGGTCATGATGTTCAATTCAAACTGATATCCAGCAAAGCGCTCTCGGATTTCTCGGGGGGGACCATACCAAGAAAAAGGCGGCAAGCCCATCTTTCCAGGGGACACTTCCCCATTCTTGCCAGGGATCCTTCTTTCCAGAAAACCATCAGAACCCCAGGGGAAACAGCTGGTTTTGAAGAGAACGATGGTTGAAAAGAATGGGGAATGAACCCGTAGCATCATTACGGGTCATCTTCGGAGAACGTTTCGTTTAATAGCTGCAAGCAGCTGACAACGATCACCCGAACTTCAAATGAGCCATGTCTCCACTGTTCAAACTCCGCAAAAGCCCACTTTCACTGCAGCCGCATCACAAGGACCAGCGTGACATATCAAAGTATCGCGAAATGTGTCGTTTCAAGGCGCGCAACTCCCAGCGGTCATCAGTCGCAAACGGGCCGGCCTTTCACCCCGAGGAACTTCCACCTCGGATTGAACATGGCAGCCCCATTCCTGGCATGCGAAAAGCGTTCCTTGCATTCCCACCTGGCAATTCCTGGCAATTCCTGGCATTCCCGGCATTCTGCACAGCACTGACCACTCCGTTCCTAGCATTAGGCACCCTTCCTGCGCATTCCTGGCATTCCCAAATGGCATTCCTGGCGCCACTGGCATCTCTCTCCGTAAGCTCACCGGATGTTCGACTCTCACTGTGCAACACATTTGGCGGTGGGTCAAAAATATGTACACGAAACATGGACCAAAACCTGCGGTCCAATTCCTGGTGGTCTAATTTTGACCCATACCCATTTCTCTGTCACGGGATTTCTGTGAATCCCAGCTTGCTGACTCGAAGCATGTCCCGAACTCTGGGCACGCGGAACACACCGCCGAAAACGTCCGGTCGCAGTCTGCTGGCAAGACGCATAGGCTCAGTCTTCTCTAGGTGGTGCCGGTAGCCTGACTCGAAGTAGAAGACAAACATGATGGCGAAGGAACCTCGGAGCTCGAGGCGATCGGATCCAGAGCGATCCCTCTGAAGCTTTTGCGACTTGACCAGCTTCCAGATTCGTCGCTGGTCTGCATCACCCTCAAACTCCTGAACCCTTTCCCGTGGCGGCCTCAACATGATCGGTCAACCTCGGAAACTGCAGGCTGCAAACCCAGTATCGGCGACCCATAGTTAGAAAGAAACAAATCCTCAAGCTGGCATGAAAGCTCACAGTGTCCTTTTTAGCCTGCTCCCACGGTTTGACGTCTCTCTGTCGCTCAGTTTACGGACAGCGGCCCCTGAAAGTGTGGCTCACAGTGCATTGGAGCCACAAGCACATGGCTGTTCTTTTTCAGGGTTTCCCTTTTCTGTTGCTTTGTTCAAGGAGAACGAAATGGAAGACCACAATTTTCCAGCCGGGTCCTGAGGACCGACTGCTATGCACTCACTGATTTTGCCCCAGCCGCAAAGCAGAAAGGTAACAGCTGACAGCGCAGTCGCCACATTGTCCTGGCGACATCGATGGCGGCATGGGTCAAGATTCGGAAACCGCATCCTCGCCTTCATATCCCCATCAACCAAATAGGCAACTTGCTGGATGCCGACCAACATGACCAAGTGCAACCGATAATCACCGAACCAACCCGACCGGTGTCAAGCTGACACTACCTCAGCCTCCGCAACCAAAAGTTGATTCCAGAGCTCCACAAGCCTGCCCTAAATCTGTGACGTCGTTTCGGTCGCGTCGCTTCATTTCCCAAATGGCAAAAGTCCATATGGCTTCGTCTCAAAGTAGAACCCTAACCACCAACCAAGAATATGAGCTTTGCAAAAAGTAGACGAGATCGCCTTTTTCAGGCGTCGGCCTGCTTTTTCCAGGGGTGCCAGAAATCAACAACCACCAACCAACCAACCAACCAACCAACCAACCAGCCAGCCAGCCAGCCAACCAACCAACCAACCCACCCACCCACCCACTCACCCACCGACCAAGCCACCCACGGACCAAGCCACCCACCCACCTACCAACCAACCAACCAACCAGCCAACCAACCAAGCAAGCGGACCAGCCCGAGAAGAAAAAAAAACAAAACAAAATCAGCCCCAGAAAGAAAAATGGCAAAAAAAAGCATCCTGTTGAACAGCTGTTCCCAAAACTCCCCTGACCAAATCCCGCCTCGTACCACTTCTCGCAGCTGGTGCAGGTCTTTGAGGCCCAGTAGCAAAAAGTGGGCACGTACACGGCTACCAGCCCCTGCAAAATCAGCTTCCTGAGCGCGTACCATGCGCCCCATGGGCCCATTCCAACCCGAAGGAAAAATTATCGGACACCGTCAGATGTAGATGTTTCATGCGTGCACGGTCATGTGCATAATTGTGGTGAACTATTCACCCGTGTCATCATATGTTTGTTTGTTTGCTAGCTGGCTAATTCTGGGTTTATTTATTTATTTATTTGTTTGTTTGTTTGTTTCATTGATTGATTGATTGATTGATTGATTGATTGATTGATTGATTGATTGATTGATTGATTGATTGATTGATTGATTGATTGATTGATTGATTGATTGATTGATTGATTGATTCATTCATTGATTGATTGATTGATTCATTGATTCATCTTTTGCTTGTGTGGGCTTGTGTGTGCTTGTGTTTGCTTGTGTTTGCTTGTGTTTGCTTGTGTTTGCTTGTGTTTGCTCGTGTTTGCTCGTGTTTGCTTGTGCTTGTGTTTGCTTGTGCTTGTGTTTGCTTGTGTGTTTGCTTGTGTGTTTGCTTGTGTTTGCTTGTGTGTTTGCTTGTGTGTTTGCTTGCTTGCTTGCTTGCTTGAGTCATTGACTGACAAATTGATGGATTGGTTGATTGTTTGTTTGTTTGATTGGATTGATTGATTGTTTGTTGGCTAGTAAGTGTGTCAAATAAACAGGTTGTTTGTCTGCTTGCATGCTTGCTTGCTTGTTTGCGTGTGATTGCTTGTTTATTTGTTTGTTTGTTGCTTGGTTGGTTGGGTAGGTAGGTAGGTAGGTAGTTGGTTTACTTGTTTCTAGCTGTTGTGTCAGTGTGCTTCTCAGCTGCCTATTCGTAAATTCATTGTTTGCTCAATTGTCCATCTTCCTACGCTTCTTTAGTCACTCACGTGTTTGTTCACATGCATTTATCTGTGATACATAGGCATTATCGTTCTGCCTGGATCGTGATGTTCGATGTTGATATCTGCCATAGTCCTGACATACAAATGGATATACTACATACCTATCCACGAACAACCCGCTGAATTCTGGAACGCTTTCCTGAACGGACCCCATGGTAGGGTAACTCCTTTGAGACCTGAAACTTCTTCTGGCTCTAAAAACCAACCCGGCCCAGCAAAAGACTTCTGGTGGGGGGAACCCCTTTCCCTGACCCAAAGTGAGGAGCTTTGACGCTGAAAAACAGTTCAAGCAACTTCTCGCCGAGGGAAACACGCAAATTGTCAACCAAAGCGTCAGAGGATCTTCAATCCAATCAGTGTGTAAAGGTAATGGCTAACTCTAATTACTTGAAAAGTCCACCACTTTCCCACTTGGGTCTGTCCTCACGATTTTTTTTGCCCACCCTTTTTCGGTGCCGAGGCGCAGCACCACGGCGGCGGACTGGATGAAGACCCAGGCCTTGACGCCCTGCAGGGCGATGCTCTTGAAGGACCTGGCCGCTCCAAAAAAAGTACCCAGCATGGTCCAACATGGCGCCTAGGTACATGCAAAGACCAACACCTGCGTATCCCCTGCTCTTTAAAAAAATATATATAATTTTTGAGGCCCACACGGGGAATTGCTCTGGCGCAAGGCGGCGGTCCGAGGGGCGCGAAAGGCGCGGAAGGGGCGACGGCAGGATCGGGTCCACATGGAAAGAGCTAAAACCTGCGGTTCTTTGTTTAGTTTTGACCCATACACATTTGGGGGGGCTCTTGGCCAAAACGTTGGACCAAAGAGGGAAAAAGAAAGTTGGGGCCATGTTTGGGCGATATGGGGAGTGTCTCAAATAAGGGGATCCCCGAACCCACGGTGTTCCTTGTGGCTCCCTTTAAAACCAGGGCTCGTGTGGGTTTAAGTGGAAGCCATCCTTTTTGAAGGGGCGGCTCCCCTTTGACACAAACCCAAAATACGAACTGGGCACCGTCAAACGCTTTGTTTCTGGGATTCTTGCTGGTTTCCCTTTTGACAAACTTCAAAACCCAAAACTTGTCTGAGGTGTGGACAACTACATAGACTGGCCAGATTTGGGAACACGCGTTCCTGCCTTTCCAGCTTAGACTGCAGGCGGCTGCGTCGAAAAGTATCGGGCCCCAACGCTCTTCCTTCAACCCAAACACCACGTTGCACCTAAACCAATCCCGCGTATCAATTGTTGTTCTTTTCAATTCTTCGACATTTCAGACGTGGTTGATCCAAAGCTCCTCTTTACCTGGGATGACCATCAGGGAAACCCCCCAAAAAAAAATGTGCAGTTCTACCAAACCTAAAAGGCGGCCTTGCTCAAACCTGTTGGCCCTAGGATGGAATCCTGCCCAACCCCCAGCGTTGCCTTTTTTCTCAACTGCAAACCAACCACTGCACCCCCTACTCCGAGGGGCCCTCGGGCTTGGTGGCTGGCTCGCTGAAACTTTCCACCGAGCGCCCCATGAGCCCCATCCACCCTGGACGGAAGGGGACCAGAGGACCGGAGGACCGGGGATGGCGGGGATGGCGGGGGCCTGAAGGAGCTCATGGCGTTGGAGTGGCTCCCGGCCATCTCCGCCTGGACCACCTGGACGAAAAACGAGTCGCGAGGAGGCATACCCGTGTTTCTTTCTTGTTTGTTCTTCTTCCTCGTCTTCTTTTTTTTTGGGGGGGGGTTCTGAAGAACCGGGAAACAACGTGTGTGTTTTGGCTTTTGCAGCATTTGGGGGTCAACACGGGAAGTTTTCCGTCTTGAGGATCTAGACTCCTGGGCCGGCAGCTGTAAGTCACTTGGGTGCACGGGTTCCATGAGTTTCAGTTTGGTTGGAGACTTACCAATGAGACCCATCCACTTTTTCCAACTAAACTTCTCAGGTGGTGGTGGTGGTGGTGGTGGTGGTGGTGGTGGTGGTGGTGGTGGTGGTGGTGGTGGTGGTGGTGGTGGTGGTGGTGGTGGTGGTGGTGGTGGTGGTGGTGGTGGTGGTGGTGGTGGTGGTGGTGGTGGTGGTGTCCCTTCAAACCAACCCTACAAAGGGTACCCTGAACAAGAAGCCACGGACACTGCGAGAACCGCCTTGACAAAGAGCACCAGCACGGACCACAGCGCGAAGGCCTCGTAGATGTCCCCGCTCTCGATGATCACAGGCACCATCCTCAACCGTGGGTCAAAACAGCAGGCGACCAGTGGTGTCACTTACCTCGGTTGCTTTCTGCTCCCCTGCTAAAAGTGAATAACTTGTAGTGGTGTTATGGAAAACCGTTTCATTAGTGGGCAAAAAGTTGAAGTCCTAACATCCCTTGGCAAAATGCACCTTCAAGCCCCTTGAGGCGGGTGGAAATTCCCTCGGCCGTAAAAAAGTTGGGGGCCCCATGTCCTCATAGACAAACAGTCGTGTACCAATGTGGACAGTTGCTGTGTCAATATTCACCATCATCTACAAGGGGATGGGCACTAAAACAGATGAACCCCAGAGCGATGCTTACAGGAAACCACTTGTGCCAACGATGGGAAGGGTTCTGATTCAAGAACTCTTCGACTTGTTGGGGGGTGGGCCCCGACTTTGTCTCTCTTGATTCGGGTGCGTGCCCCCCAAAAACATAGGGCTGAGTTACCGGAACACAGCCAGGAATACTGTCCATGGTACCAGAAAATAACCATATCTACTAGGACCAAAAATACGTGTTTTACCAAATGGCCATGGGTCAAAACCCCATCCCCACTAAAATAGGTTCTAAAATGGGTGGTGAATTCACCACTAAAATGGGATCCCAAAACGGTTTTGACAGCAGGTTTTGGTCCACTTGCCAGGGATCCATTTGGGGTACCTATTTTTGACCACCACAGCCAGATCGATATATGCATCTTCTGCTTCAGGTGTTCCCAGTGCCCAGGTGCCGGCCCATCTGCGTGTCCGGCTGCAGCTTCAGCACGCGGACGCAAACCGCGCAGAAGAAGATGATGTTCACCTAGGCCGTGGCCTTTGGGGTAGAAGGGCCCAAACATATGATTTGAATGGGGGCATGGGGTACTCTCTGACCATATTTTAGTTGAGGGTCATCTTAAAGGGCGTAAATCATGGGGTTCTGGGGTGCTCCAATTCCATATTTGGTCATGATTAGAGGGGAATACAATTGATTCATGGTTTAGACGCTTTAAACAGAAGCAAAAGCCAAGAAATGTTGAGAATCCTCAACATGTTCAAGTCAAGGGCCAGAAGGACCCTTCTGTGCTTCTGGTCGGTGCAGAAGCCTTGCGCACCCCAAATTGTTCCCAACCAACGCCGGGAAGCTAGGACCCAAGTCGGGGAGGGCCCTCAACTAAACCCAAGTCTTGCATGCAAGAATATGCATTCGATTGCTTCGTTCGCTTGTTACTACGCTCGCCAAAAAACAGCTTTGACGTTTTGGGCCTTGGCTGAGACGAAGTTGGTCGACTCAACTATATGAAATGTGCAAAGTGGGTCACATTGCCACAACTCACAAACCAGAGAGAAGGAATCACCAAATATGTAGGACTCTCGCTTTTACTACAGCATGGCACCTGAGGCTCCCCCCCCCCTCCAGTGCTATGAACACTACAAAAGGACGTAGCAGGCTCCTTAACCTAAGTCAAACCTTGACCCAAACAAGTCCACCATAGATGACGCCTTCCCCCCTTCTTGGAAGGTCCCAAAGGCCGGCAGCAGCAGCATATCCAGCAACCCATCCACCGCCACCTTCCGCTGCTCAGGGCCCTCCCGGACCATCGAGAAGCACCAGACCTGGCGCTCAGCTCCGCGAGAGAGGGGCCCGGGTTCAGGCGCGCCCGTTTTCGGGGCGGTTGCAAAGGGAAACTCTACTCCGGTTCCGAAAGATAGAGCACCTACGATTCTCCCAACATACGGTTTTTCGGAAGATCGAACATCTACTGGTATCCTCTAAGATAGAACATCTGCACACTCGTCTGGAGGTTTTGGAAACTACCAAGCAAAAAGTTGGTCCCAACCATGGAATCCATCCATGCCACAAACTGAGTCCACCTATGGACCGGTCCCTCCTGCACTTGGAGGGTGAAGCACGGATCAACAGGAGGTGGTGGGCTGATAGGACAATCCCAAAAAAACATGCCATCAGAGAAGACGCACTTGTACGGCATCATGCTGGCCTCATTTCTATGGGGGGTTCCCCTCCAAAAAAGATGATTCCCCACTAAACCCAAACAACACCCATATTGATAAACAGGGGTTTCTCAATATGGGGTCAACATCAAGACTAGAACCATGGTTAAGAGCCCCCAAGACAAAGGTACCCTTCGACGGCGCATGGAGAAATGTGCTGTCGGTGGGCCACAGCTCGTTGAGCCCTACTGTGGGTGGACGAAATCCATTTCGCCGTTCGGAAACCCAACGGAATGATTCGATTCCCCTGAAAATACCAGCAGACCTTGGGTGGCAAGATTTCGTCCATCCACACTATGAAAGATGGAAAGCTGCACCTTTGCCGACACGACGGCTGACATCAGCCCGGCCTCTCTGGTCACTATCCTCAGAAGGGCTGGCGCTGTGACTTCCTCTTGTGTTGCTTGGGGGGCAAAAAGAAAGCCAACCCCAACAAATGCATCCCGTCAGGATCTGCTGGTCAGGCTGGCTATCAAACATGATGCATGGCAAACAAAAGAAATCCATGGCGCAACGCCCCGCGATCTTTCGGCGAGTGGCGCTATGGTCAGCCACACTGCCGCGTTCACGAACACCAGCTCCTAGCAAAAAGGTACATGACCTCCTGCCCGGAAAGTCAACCCGGACTCCGAAAAAGCACTTCGCCCAGGAATAAGCTTGAATTGTGGACCCTTTTTGGTGGGTATCATGAACCATACCCAGCTCGGTTGATGCGAACCCCGAAACGGGGGGTAGGGTCTTGTTGGTGTCCTTTGGAACTAAAAGTGGGTTCCGTTCAAAAAGAGCCACGGCCACAGACTTTGATGCGAAAGATGCGAAAGATGTTGGGTCTGGCTTTTTGGAGGATTGCAAACTTAAGGGACAACCTGAGTTGCTCGAACAGGACAACCTGTTCGAAGTGAACCAGGAAAAAAATAACTCCCTCACCTGCAAATTGACATGAAACCCAAACTGGGGTTCATTTCCCAGAAGGAGGTCCCTCTACGGATGCTTTTTTGGGGGGGTCCATCTGAGTTTGCCGGGGGAAACCCCATGAAGGGCTGGGTTGATGTGTTCTCCCAGCTCCCCTCACCTAAGAGCTCCCATCTCATCGCCGCCTTCTTTCAGATGGTCCCCCTCTTTTGGCGGTTATTTCAAAACCAGAAGGTCTTTTTGGGCTACCCTTTTTTGCTTCTTGTTTTTTTGCTAAGACAGAAACCAAGTGGGTGTTTTTTGTTGGGGTACCCCTTTTTTGGTTGCTTTTACTAAGACAGAAAACAGCGGGTTTTTTGGGGTGCGCCTTTTTTGGTTGGGTTTTTTTTAGCGGGGAACCCCCGGTGAAAACCTCGCCTCGCCCTCGGGCCCAACGGACCGACGCACCGCCCGAGGCTGCGGCCCAGGTCCAGGCGCGGAGCTGGGAGATGAGCAGGAACTCCCGCACGCCAAAGGCCACCTGAAAAAAGAAAGAAAAAACGGTTTTTCAGGCGGAGAAAAAAAAAAACGAAAAGACGGGTGATGCTGGGCCATATATATGTTTTAAGAGAAAAATGTATTGTTTTCCGGCAAAACATGAAAAGACGGGTGATGCTGGGCCAGTTTTTGTAAAGAGAAAAATATATTTATTTATTTATTCGGCGAAACATGAAAAGACGGGTGATGCTGGGCCAGTGTTTTAAACGAGAAAATATATATATATATATATATATATATGTGTTTGTTTGTTTTTTTTTTTTTTCCGGCGAAACATGAAAAGACGGGTGATGCTGGGCCAGTTTTTGTAAAGAGAAAGATCCGTTTCCGGCGAAAAATGTGGCGGGTGGCTGGGCCGGCTTTGTTTGAGGCGAAACATGGAAAGACGGGTGGCTAGACCAGGTTTTTGAAAGTTGGACCCCGCAAAGGCGGGCGAGAAAAAAATATTGCTGGCAAAAAACATGTGACGGGTGGCTCGACCAGTTTGTTTGAAGAAGAAGTTTCAGGGAAAACATGGAAAGACGGGATTTTTCAAAAGAGAAAGGGCGAGCAAACCGGGGTTTCCTTGTGGCTGGCTGCCCTTACAAAAACCCAACCGAACGGAGGGAAGCAACTCAAAAAAGGCAACCCCCCCAGGTCTTTTTTGGAGGCTCGGTAGCTCGGATGGTGGGATTCTTTCTGGAACGCCGACTTTCCATTTTGGGTCGGCGAAGTCGGCGAAGTTGTGTCATTGCCGCTGAGAAAAAATAAAGGACCCTTGCCAGGGCAATGGGTTTCACGAACCGGCAGTCAAAAGAATCCATTGTGCAGGAGCCTGTTTGGATGTGAAGACTTGCAGGGAAGCCAAAAGGAAAAGAGAAGCCATTTATTTTGGGGTCCAACCTCACAACAGACGCACCCACGTGTGCTTTTTGTCATACAACTTTCAACCCCGAATGGTTGCGCAGTACCAACCCCGCCTGGCATGCCAGGTGGAACCAATACCTCAGCAGAGGGGCCCGGCCTGTCCATTTTGTTTGAACCGTTGATCCGCTAAGATATGCCTAGCCATAAACGTCGTATTTGGGGTTTTACCTATAACTCGAACCAGGTAGCATCTTGGAATCTCCTGCTCAACTGGCCAGGGCTCTTTTTGCGTGGCTCGTTTTGCGAGCGTCGCCCAAAGTATGGACCCTTGTTCATTTTGCAAAGGAATCCACTAGGAAACCAATAATGATGAGGAGTCCTCAATGAGGAGTCCCCCAACGGCAAAGAGGCCTGGAGGCATCTACAAACCTTGACAAATGGGGGGACAAGCGGGCGCGCTTTCGTGTGGGGCCAAACAAAGGACTACAGTGAATGAAAGTTGCGATACCGAATCCGGCGTTGATCATGTGTTTCCAGCAAGACTTGCCTCAAAGATATTCACACACCTTTGTCCATTCCAATGCCCCACGAACAGGGGACGATCTTTAACCTCTCTGCATCCCCGGTGTGGTACTTCAATAAGTGGAAGGTGGCGGCACGCGAGATCACCATACCCACTCCAAGCAAGTTTGTACGCCAACGTGACCCACCGTCGTTCAGCTGCAGTTGCAAGTCGGGGAACAAGAGAAGGCAGCGTCTGTGAGCTGATCTTTGGAGGTACAAATTGGTACGAATGCTCTGGGTGAACAAGCAATGGGCCTTTTCTGTTGCAATGCCTTTGCCTGTCCTTTTGGCATGCCGAATCTGGCACCTTGTTGTCTTCAACAATCATGATGCTGGCCATGGTGAGATTATGATGATGATGATGATGATGATGATGATGATGATGATGATCATGCTGATGATGATGATGATGATGATGATCATGCTGATGATGATGATGATGATGAGGATGATGATCATGCTGATGATGATGATGATGATGATGATGATGATGATGATGATGATGATGATGATGATGATGATGATGATGATCGATATATCATGTTGATGGCGCGCTGCCTGCACAATGTCAATAGTAAATTGCATGCAAATGATAGCCTTGGTACACAAACATGGGCATGCTGATGAATTCAACCTTCTATCAAGTACTGAACACATCGGCGGCAAGGATGGTGATAAATGCTGTCACCTTGACGGTGATGATATTGCTGTTGTCATGTGAAGGTTCTCGTGACAAAGAAAGGGAAAGTGAGCTAAGGTAAGTTATAGCCATCCATCTTTCCCGCTCGTAGACAAGAAAATCTTGCGAATGGAAAGGGTATGGATGGGGAATCAGAAAGTGAGAAGGTACGCTCCGTTCATATCGACCCACTGTGATGAGATAAGCTGCAGCGATTATGATTCATTGGCAGGCCATTGGTAAACACACCGAAAGTCAAGAGGTAAGCAAGAGCATGAGAAGATACAAACGCCGGAAACTCCGGATGTGTATCTCTTCTTCGGTTTCATGGTGGATGGAATTCTGGTAACCGGGAAAGAGGGAATGAGTGAGGGTTGCAGATGGAAAGAGCTGGTTCTCTCCAAATCCTTAAGCATTCGCCATTACAAACCGTACAAACTTTAGGATTCTCGCATTCCAATCAATCTCACCAACTGCGAGGAAAGAAACCCAGCCTCTTCCATCACTTCCTTACCCATCCATGAGTCCAATTAATTGCTAGTATCTTGAAATGGGTAAGGAATGGCGGATCCTCTTTGTGAGTCACCCATCAAATGCGGATCGTCTAGAGGAAACGCAGGGCTTGACCGAGTGGACAGGATGGATATATTCTCTACAGTCCTACTCGGTCAAATGGTGAGACGTCTTTCAGCCTGGCAGTCTTAATGTCTCACTGTATGTCTTCTCCAAAGGTAACTTTCGGTGGGGTTCTATACCAAACTTCTACCTTCATTTGAAAGGCACCTCGTCTAAGCTTCTGGACACTTACCGAAAGCTTAGGTAGAGATTGGGAGTTTTCCAGACATATCAAGGAAGACATGATCATGAATTGTAACTAAGATGAGACGAGTTGTCTCTTCGCCTTGTTCTCCGACCCAATCTGTGAGTCTATCTGTTAAACAGTTTGTAAATGAGTTATGGCCAGGAAGTAAACAAAATAACGCAAGGAGATGCATCTCTATCTAACCTCAACATCTTGACCAATACATGTGTCTCATATATAATCCTTAATAAAATAGTGGCTTGTGGACCAAAGGGACAGATAAGCTGTTTGCAAGCAATGGAAGAGATAAGTAATATAGCTATGAAAAGATCCCAAATACATCTATACTTGATACTTGGCTTTATCAATTTATACTCTCTCCATCTTCATAGCTCGTCAACGGACCGTTTCTAGCAAAGCCCGTCCTGCATCTCTTGTCATCACTTCGTCCTCGCTATCCTTCCTTCCTACATCCTACTTTAAATATGATATTTAGTTGTGGTTTTGGTTTCGTTGGAAGGTACGTCCCCGTCTCTCACTGGTTAAAGACGCCTGCAGTAGCAACTGCTATACTGGTGAGAGACCCCCAAGCCAAGAGGTAAACCCCTAGAGTTCACGACAAAGGTGCGCACGGAAACTATGCCACTCCTCGCTCCACACTTGTTTTTGCTTTACATTATAATGCAAAAGGCAATGATGGCTGTGGTGAGACCTATGATAGTGACTACTATCATGGTGATAACCATGATGCCTTGGCCAGCATGACGAAAGTCAACATCATGGTCACTGTGACAACAGGCCGCCGCCATAACCAAGCTCACGTCACAAACGGTGTCTAAGTTAATGGCAGAATTTCTGATAGGACGCCATGATCTGCATGTGTAATCAAACTGTTCATGGTAACTATGATGATTGGATTTCGCCCGCAACCAAGCTGAATCCTGAAAGATTAAATTGCTTTTGTGCTGCCGTTGAGGTTCTGTAACAAGCCAGCGCCGCCTCCACAAAACCCACGAGAGAAACAACAACCACAAAAGAAAACAGAAAGTACGATAACCAAAAGTACAGAAAGTTACAACATTCACAACAACCACAAAAGAAACAGTATGGCGGTTACAAGCATACATAGCCACTCACAACCACACTGTGGATGGTTGCGAAATCCATTTCGCACTACCTAAGAAACCCTGGAATGATTTGATTCCCCTGTAAATACCAACAAACAATGGTTTCTCATGGATTCAAAGTGGTGCAGGATTTCGTCCATCCCCAGTACGTAGCCACTCACAACCACACTCCGCCGACGTAGCAACCCACAAGTCCCGACGTCACCCAGGCGGCCACAATCGCCCGCTCGCAACTACCTGCAGCCGACCACACACCAGCCACAAGCACTACAACCACCAAAAGGACTCGCTAAGAAGGCAATAACACCACCAACCCAAACAAAAATCTTGGCACATACCGTTTTTCAGGCCCCAAACCCCACCCAACCGCCCCCCACTTCCCCCCCCCACCCTACCCCACCCCCCCGGCGCATGTCTCAATCTCAGGTGCCACTTCAGCCCGCCGCTACTCCGCTCCTTCGGCGGCGCCTCCCGGCAGCACAGGAAGCGCTGCACGCAGGCGCTGCCTCCGGCGCGAGGCCGGCGGCTGGGAACGGGGAACGAAACGGAAGAGAACATCGATTCATGGGGGCTGGGGCCCCAATAAAAGCCCCAAATACGGGTTTATGAGGGGCTTCATAAGGGCTTTTTTGGGCTCCCTCCCCCTCCCCTCCCTCCCCCTCACCCCCCATGATCGATTGGGGAGGCGCAGTCTTCTTGCGGGTGAGATCTCAGTGGGGAATGAGAAATGGAATGAACTGAATGAACCGGTTTGGGGGATTCCCGAAGAAAGGGAAAATATCGGATGGACTTTCATGGACTTGCCCAGCGTCAGTGTGTGAGAAAGGAACCATCGGCCACAGCCAGTGGCTTTGGCACTTCCGAGGTGAAGCCGAGGAATCCTAGGTCCTCCAGATTTGAGAGGTTACAATGAGGGCATCCTTTTCTCTGTAGTCTACTTTAGTAGAGGAACCCTCCCAACCAAAAAAGAACGGTAACAGGGCACTACTGGGGGACCTAGAATCGCCAGTCGCGACCCCGTCACTTGGCGAGAAGGGCTGGGTGGACCAAAACTGACATGGCCATGGGTCAAAATCCAAATCGTAGCCCCGGTGAACATCCCAATCCAACCACTAAAATTCATACCATCCAGGCATGACGCTCCCAGAGACACCGACCCAGTTCCCTGCAAGGATGGATGGCTGCTGCGTGCTCAAACGCGCCAGCTCCATTGACGATCCTTTCTGAGGCGTGCCGGCTCCACCCAGCTGACGATCTTAGAAATGGTGGCGCTCTTGTCGGATCCAGTGGCACCAGCAGCCGTGCTTGGATCCCCCTTGTGAGGAGGCATTCTGTGGTCTATGTGACGAGGTGTCTGGCCGTACAGGAGCGCCGTCTCTTCCACACTCGTCGGAGAGATGGGTTCGCCTGCCAAAGTCAGCAAAGAGGCGTGGTTTGATACTGAGCCGTGTTGCTCTCGTAGAACGCCAGGCCGTTCCGTGTTCAGCACGAAGTCCTTGTCATTCCGTGTTCAGCACTCCACTGCTGGGGTCTTTGTCCTGGAGGCGGTGAAGCACCGCCTCGAGAACGGCCAGCTGTGTGAGGTGCCCTGAGCTGACGTGCGGACCGCGAGCTGGTGAGCATCGCCAGCACCACTTCGCGGTCGGCACGCAGCTTGGAGGCGAGCTGCAGCTTGGAGGCCGTTGAGTTTGTATGCGAGGAGCTGTGCGAGGATCGGGGAATTTTGTCCTTTGCCACGCCGTGTGGCCACTCCTTCCTCGAATTCAATGCGCCTTCACGTGAATGCTTGAGCCATCCTCTTGGCTTCGCTGGAAAACCGAGGCCCTTTTGAGGGCTGGGTGCATCGCCCCCCCCCCTCCCCGGTCCCCGGGGCTCCGGCATCGCGCCACGCAGCGCAAGAAGGGCCGCGACCTCGAGGCCAAGCGCCAAAGTCACACACAAACCTGGCGAAGCGTCTCCCACGTCCGGTCTGCTCAAAAAACGAATAGATGTTACGCGTCTGTTTCATGGAAAGTCTACCCCAACATATATCATAGTTTTCATAGTCTTGGAGGAAGACCCCAGAGATCCGCCCAAGACGAGGTGACCGTGTAAAGACCAACAATCGCTTGCTCACATGAAGAGCTCGGAGCAAAAGCGCGGCCATTCCGACGCCCAACTGCAGATTTCAAACCACCTAGGCTCAACCCACCCCCCCCCCATCGCCCCCCGGGCGATCTGCTAGTTCGTCAAAGCAGTTTATGCGCTTTGCAACATCTCCATCTCCAAAGACTGACCGGGGCCATATCCCGTTGAAAGAGTCGAGTTGCTCTACTCACCACCCCAGCAACTCCCGATTCATCCACATGAACCACCCGCCGCTTCAGCCAGTTGGCCAGCCCCATTCCACCCGCTTGCAGATCTGTGCAACTTTGCAACGCGCAGGCGAGGCGGCGAGAGTAGGCAACGGTTTGAGCGTCTCAGGGCGCGTTTCAGGTCCAGCCACATCTTCATCTCTTCCGTGGAGTCAAAACTATGCTATGCACACGTGTTCAATGAGCCATACTGAATGGTGAATGATGATGTGCTGGTTATCCTCAAGATACTTTTATAATATGTTGACCGGGAACACCTGCGTCTTCATCGAACATCCCCTGCCCTCAGGACAATGACAGGCCAGGCTACTTCACTATCACACATGGTGGCTTGAAGAAAAAATCCAACCGCAGTTTCCGACTTTGACCCCCAGAACGCCATGGTCGGCTTTGTTGGCTGCTTTTCGGTGAAACAAAGTTGCAAAGTGCAGAAACCCTCTTTTCAGGCAGTCCCTCTATATTTCCCTGTACTTCAAGAGAAAGCCAAATAGCAAACCCTGGCCTATGTCTTGGTTCATTAAAATCTACGCGAAACTCGAAAATATGTAAAGAATGGAAACGGCAGCTGCACGCATTTCTGGATGGGAGCATCTCTTACTAACCTTCTACCCGGGGTTTCAGCAAGTGGCTCACTGGAAGTCTTTTGCCAGACAGGAGCCCGACACAGGTTCGAGGTTTACCCAACCTGGCCCTTGGTTCCACGCGGGTTTAAGACCAATACACCTGTTTCCCTTTCTGCTAGACAAATACAATGCACAAATGGTAGATGAATAGGTTGTCCTCTCGTGGGAATCCCTTGATTGATCAACCAGGGGTTCCTTTTGGGAATGACAGGGATGGGGGGACACTTCCTCTTCAAAAGGCAAGCTTCCCGAAACCAGCTGAAAATCATACTGTGGACAAAATCCTGCACCACATAGTTTCTTGAATGCAGGATTTCGTCCACCCACAGCATCAAACCACCAAGAAACCCTAGGAAGACCCCACAAAAGAAAACCCCGAAACCGCCCGAACATCCCTGGGGGAACCACCGGACAAGTCCACCAAGTCGACCAGACCCCCCGAAAGTCCCCGGTGAAACCCCACCCCGGGACTGGGATTCTTGGGACGGGGCTGTGTGCGCAGCACCACCGCCAGCGCGCTGGCGCCGAAGTGCGCGAAGATCACCGTGGCCATGGCCCAAGCAGCCGTGGCCGGAGGTGCCCCCAGAAGGACGTGACAGGCGCGCCGAGAGGAGAACCCCAAAAACGTGTGTTTTTTTTTGGGGGGTCGTTGAGAGGGTCTCTTCCGGTTGTTTTGGGAAGGAAAAAAAAAACGCAGGGATGGAAAAGGCGATCAAAATGAAGGATAAAAATAAAGAGTGTGAGTTGCAGGTTAGAGCTCGGGCAGGGCAAAAAAGCCTCTGGAATCAAGTGGAGCTGCTCCGGGGATGAGTCTTTCAGCATGCGGAGCCTTCCTGTGACGTGCCGTGACGCGACGTGAATGAGGCGGGATGGGTGGGAAGCAAATGGGCCGCTTGCGGACAGTGCCCCCCAAAACACCCAGTGTCCGGACATGTCTTTCGGAACTCTTGCGGGTTGCCATTGATGTTTGTGTCTCGAACTTCGCTTCTTGAGCCAAGCGCAGGACCACACCCCGAAAAGGTATCTCAAGACTCCGAACCATGGGCCGTCCTTTTGGAAAGATAGCTGGCATGAAATGATTCGAAACAAACTGACAGTTCTTCCAAGGAAACGACCAACCAAAAGGACACCTCTTTCAAAAAAGTCATCCGCTCCTCTGCAAAGTCCGCGCCTGGATGATGTCCTCGGGCGGAGGCAGGGAGTGGCAGCGGCTAGATGATTGAAAGCCTATTGGAAGGTGCCCTCAAAGCAGAAAAGTCACGCCTGGCGGTGGGACCGCCCCCATGAAACTGCGGGGGGATTGTGTTGACCACTGATTTTGGGGAGCGCCCTGACACATGCCGTGTCAGACGTGTCTGGGCTCTCTGAGTGAAAGAGGGACTTGCCACGTGGGAGCTCGAAATGCGGGAACCCGGGAGCCATTTTGGATAGGTCTTCAAGGGAAAACAGCCGAACTCTGATTTTGGTTTCAACCAAAACACCGTTCTTAAAACCATAATGCCGACTTTGAGACTGCATCCAAAAGCGCCGAAGTGCCCTTCTTTTCCTCTGCCCTGGCCCTCGCCTTCAGAGAACTCCGAATTGGCCTGGACTGGCGCTGGGACGTCCGAGCGCGAAGTTCGCCGCACTCGGCGGGTTTTGGACTCTCGCCACTCCAGCACCTCATCGGGAGCTAAATGCCGCGACGTCTTTGGGGCCCTGTGGCGCAAAGTCCATCTTCGGCCAGAGAGCCATGCCCTGCGCGACGAAAACCCGCGGAAAAGGGGAAAAATACGGAAAATACTGTTCCAAACATCGAGCTACCATCGCAGCAACAGCAAGTTGGAGGTCGAAAGATCTTGAGAAACAAATTGTGACACCGTCTCTCTGCATTTGATCTTATCTGTTGTGCCAAACACTGCGCATCCTTGCCTTAAAAATGGCCACGGATGTCCTGCCACTCAGCTTCCGACCCTCGTCGCCGTGAGCTTTTCGGGACAACTCCCTCAAGGCATCGGCTGGTTCTGGAGCTCCTTGTGCACCTGAGTCTCTCAATTCCAGGGGTGCCAAGGTACATACCCCTTTTATGTACCCCTTGGACAAATGAACCCAAAAGGCCTGCTGATGTTCATACCCCTCTCCCCTTTTTGGGGGTATATACCCCTTTTGGGTTGGAAACCACGGAAGCCAAGGGGTATGAACAAGGGGGTATGTACTTCCACCCGTAGATCAATCCGGCTTCCCCGAAATGCACTGCCTGAAGCGTGGACGTATAATGACATGGCACATGCTATCCCGTTGCTTTTGCAACTGGCACCCATCAGGATCCGACAACTTGCACCAACTTAAAAATGATGCGGAAAGAAAGGAACCCTCCGGCCTGACCATTTGTGCCTAGATGCAGTTTTGCCCTGAGAGTTCCTTCGAAACTTGACCAATTCGGCTTCCAATTTGGAACATTCGGTCGCACACCCGGTCGCGAGGCAATATCTTGGAGATTTCCACAGATGGGTGTGGGTCAATTTGTGCCCAAGATGGAACCCAGGTTGGAAACAATAACTAAAACCTGCAGCCCATATCCTGGTGGTTTTTGAAACTGACCCATACCCTCGTTTCGGACGTGGCTTCTTGGTCCCAGACCCAACAGTGCCCGGTGCCACACTCCATGTGCAACCGGACTCAACGCACGTCTCGCGCAGGGCCTGGTGGTTCATGTACACCTTCAGCCACTCCACAACGGAATCACTCATCTTCACCTACCGGAAAAACTATTGGAACCATGGAAGTCTTCAGCTTGTGATAAGCCACCCCCCCAAAGCTACCCCCCAAAAATATATATAAGGGCTAGACGCTTTTTCATTTGGGGGGGATAGTTTTTCTCTTCCTGAGAAGTAGATGCCGCGACTTTCTTCCCTCCCCGTTTCCGGCGGAAGAAAGGAGGTCTTTGACCAAAATTTCGAGGGGATGACTGCACCATGGAGGAAGGTCCGCAACGGGCCAAGCCTGGAATGCTGCAACCAACTTGGCCTACTGCCTGGACCAAAACCTTGGCCAGATGAAGAGGCAATCACCCACTCGCGAGCCACCAAGGTACTCCCTACATAGAACCCACTGGTCCACAGAGTTTGGAGCAATCTTTTTCCCGAAAGCATGGCGAAGGGTTCTTCCTCTGGGTTCACTTGAGTTGTTCTCATGAGAGTCACTACAAGGTGTCATTGCAAGGAATCATCATCATGAAAGTCATTGCAAGGAGTCATTGCAAGGAATCATCATCATGAAAGTCATTGCAAGGAGTCATTGCAAGGAGTCATTGCAAGGAGTCATTGCAAGGAGTCATTGCAAGGAATCATCATCATGAAAGTCATTGCAAGGAGTCATTGCAAGGAGTCATGGCAAGGAGTCATTGCAAGGAGTCATTGCAAGGAGTCTTTGCAAGGAGTCATTGCAAGGAGTCATTGCAAGGAGTCATGGCAAGGAGTCATTGCAAGGAGTCATTGCAAGGAGTCATTGCAAGGAGTCATTGCAAGGAGTCATTGCAAGGAGTCATTGCAAGGAGTCATGGCAAGGAGTCATTGCAAGGAGTCATGGCAAGGAGTCATGGCAAGGAGTCATTGCAAGGAGTCATTGCAAGGAGTCATTGCAAAGGAGTCATTGCAAGGAGTCATGGCAAGAAGTCATGGCAAGGAGTCATTGCA